TCCCCTCCGCTTCCGGCTCATGGGACCTTATTTCGGAAAAACCATGTATGGTAGTCAATGGCGAGAGACAACTTATCTTTTTATTCCATCTGAACTGTGCCCTGAATTACACATATGATGTTTGTCAGTTTAAAAGATAATTCTGAAAGTCAAGAAAGTCGCAGTTTGTCATAAAACAGAAGAGTAACATTTAGTTTTATGTGAAAATCGCTCAATGAACTACATCTCCCGGGAAGCGAAACAACGAGCGAGATCCGCTGCTCGTGTGTGTGCAGTGCAGTCTGGTACAAAACACTCAGGGATGACGGCGTAATGTTACGATTATAACGTAAGACTATAGAAAAAATGACAGACGTTAGCTTCAGTAAAGTTAGCTTCAGTAAAGTTAGCTTCATTCATTGAGAGAAAATGTGCGCCTTTGGGGTTTGTAGTCTTTGTATTTACGTATTTTCACAGTCGTATACCTCGACAGTTTTACATCAAACTGCGACTTTCTTGACTTTAAAATGTATCTTTTAAATTGACAAACATCATATGTGTAATTCAAGGCACAATTCAAACGAGATCAAAATATTCGTTGTCTCTCGCCATTGACTACCATACAATATTTTTCCGAAATAAGGTCCATGGTGGTCGACCGGAAGGGGAGGGACTTAGGCTCTCTATTGACAGTCTATGCAACTACCACTTTCCAGCCCCATAAAGGTATTAATATCATTAAAGTAATCCATTAAAGTGACTCCAGTGGTTTAACCTCAGTTTTATGAAGCAACTCGAGTGGTTTGTTTTCGCAAAAAAAAAAAAAAAGCATAATTTACCACTTTATTTACAAAATATTAATCTCCAATGCGCTGTTTGAATTAATCTTCAAACAAAGCACTCGCGTCGCTTCCTAAAATTGAGGTTAAACCACTGGAGTAACATGGATTACTTTAATTATATTTTTACTACTTTCTTGGGCTTGAAGTGGTTGCGTAGCTGTCAATGGAGGGACAGAAAGCTCTCAGATTTCAATAAAAAGGTCATCATTTGTGTTGTCTATCTCTTTAATGGAATGCACTAATTCAATGCACTGTTTTTTCTCTCTCTGCTGAAGTTGGAAATTTCTGACTCGGTGCAGAAGAATTTTTTGTTTTGTTGCGAAAACAGCCTTTAAAAATACAGCATGCAGTGCAATTTAAATATATTGTAGATTCAAATAGATAAAGTAATAAATGCATGTGTATGTTGGATGTTTTCTTTCCACTATTCTGAAATAAGCAAGTTGTGGAAGCAAAACAGCCCAAAATCTCAAACCCAGTGGATGAAACAAACAGTGGTTTCGGCTTTACTGTCTGTAGTGACTTGCCGTTAATCTTGCCGTCACCAGCTTAACGTTAGATCTTTAATCTATTTTAGACTATCTATCTTTATTCTTAGACCTTATGAAAATCTAACTTACTGCTCTGAAATCATTAGTTAATGCAGCAACAATGCAACAGGTGTAGAACCAAATTATTGATCATATTAAACAGTAAACCCATCCGTTAACTTATTTGAGATTCATGTAACGTTAAACACAATGTAAAATGTGATGCGCGTGAGTCTAATATTTGAATGAAGTGGTCTAGTGTGGTGATGATGACAGTTGCTGTTCAGCTAAGCTAACAAAACGGTAGAAACACTCAACGTAAGCCCACCAGAACTCTCATAAAGGATATCTCAAACCTTACCTTCTCCTTTAAACGTCTCAAAGTCCGCTGGTCACAATAATGCGCGAGTACACATTATATTTAATATAACCTTACTGGTCTTTTATCACTGCGTCAGGCCGTGTAGAGTGAGTGACAGTCGCGCGAGCCTTCTTGACACACACACACGCCGACAGCCAATCAGAAAGGAGGAACGCCATAGCCCTTGAGTTTACCGTAAAGCTCAGTATATAAAGCGCAGTAAACTACTGACCACAGAAGCGGAAAGAAAATGGTGAAATTACCGTAAAGATCTTACACAAACAAGCCTCATTCCTCATCAGTTGTTTGTGCAAGTCAGACTTGAATTGCAAGACTAAATCTGTGGAGTTTTGCATTTTAGTCGTCTAGTTTTACTAATAAAGTAAGACAATAACAATAAAAAAATAGTTTTGTTATTTACATATTGATAATAAAATAAAGTGTATTATTAGCCTATTATTATTTATTCAGATAAAAATACACAAGTCTATATAATAGTTGTTCAGAGTAGTTTTTGACTGACTGTTAATAGAAAAAGGAAGAAATCTTTGATTTCGTTTGCATGTTTATTTATTTATTCTAATTAATTTATTCGTTGTGTGTTCTGAATGACTTTTTCACTTTTTATTTAATGATTTTATTTGTTACATTACATTATCGAGTTTGGTGAACAAGTATTCAACTGATATTACTGCAGTGCTGGGACATTTTGAGATAAATGAATGCCTGCTTATCTCTGCATAATGTGCATATGTAAATGCATTACAGAGCGCATGTCTATTCGCTCTATGGCCAGAAGAGGCCGCAGTTGAGTTTCTAGTTTTGGAAGTAAATTTAGAAGTCCTGCAAATCTAAACCAACCATTGATTGACCATGTGGATGTTTTGAGATAGGCCAGAGAAGACGGGCTCTGGATAGGCCTAGTTTATTTGCGGGTTTGTTTATCATGCTACAGTACACATACATAGGTGTGATTTGGTAGCACTTCTTCTTAATATTTGTCATTAACAATCATTGAGCAGATGCGTAGCTGATGTATGATGGTCATTCCTGGGATTCGGTAATATTTCAGTCCCCCAGACGTTTTAAAGTTGTGGTTCCCCAAAATGAAAATTTAAAAGCTTTTCACAACACTTTGGTATGTCCATTATAATGAATAAACATAATTATTGCATTTAAATATTTTTTTATCATAAAATAATGCATTTTGTCATGTCACAAGGCACTGCACTGAATTTGTTAATATTTAATATAATTTTTGGCAATATTGTAAGTATTTATTTGTGTATTGTATATTCATATTTTTGAGACGTATTATAGTCAGGGAGGGTATAGTGTCAAGCTTAACTCAACCCCATCACAAAATTAAGAAGGAATTTTTTTTTTAATCCATAAGTATATACATATTTCATTGCTGCCAGATATGGTCTACTTCCCGACACTACAGGAGGAGCAGTGGCCATTTAGTACAAAAAAACCTCAACCCCATCACACTCAACCCTGTCACATATCTGTACATTTCTCATTGTTTCGGGGTTGTACTGTAAACTTGTGTTGTGACAGACAGGGTTGAGTTTTCCCACTTAATTTATGAATAATTTTAATGGTTATGGTTTCAGTAAAGATATACTTACCAAAATCATGACAACTCATCATTTTGATATAAATAGAATATTTGATGTAATCAATATTTGAATTTCAGGAATGACCCATATTCCAAAATGAATAAGTAGGGCAAAAATATATGAATCAGAGTAAAAATGGCATTTCTAATTACGTGAATTACAATTTACAACTAATCATCTGTTAAGTTTTATGTCATTATTTTTAAACTATTATAAAGTGCTACTGCTATATGTTCTAAGACCGTTTTGCTAATGTACCCATTAAGTGATGACATTTTTTCTGAATGTCTCAGAACATTCAAATCGTCCAGTTTTTAAAAAATGCTTTGAGGACGTTTTTTCTTGGTTATGTGAATGTGAACGTTGTATCAATTTTATCAAACATTTTGCAAACGTCACGTTTGAATGTTCTCTGAAAATCTGAAAGGTCCATCTATAATAATTTCAGAAGATTGTTCCATTTACGATGTATAAATAAAGTTTTTGTGCTAACATTTTGATAGCCTAATGTTAAAAAGAGAGACCACGTGAGTGAGCGTTCTATTAACGTTACAGGAAGACAGTTTGTCCATAACTGAAAGAACCTTGTCAGAACGTTAGCCTGAGTTCTGAGAACGTTCCCTGTTCGCATGGCAAGACTTTAAAGTGATTTAACTCTGCGTAATTAGTTCTACATTTAGTGGTCGCTACATTAATTCATGCGGCTTCTCCTCCTGGTTTGTGCCTCTATGAATGACTGACTGTTTGAGTAAATATATATCTACACTTGCTCTGCCCAAGGCTAACCTGTTTTGCCTGTACCTATACACCAAAGAGAGCCGAGCGGATCAAACAATCTCACTTCCAAAATGATCCGCTTTTATTTTTGGACTATATTATCTTCTATTATGTTATGAACCATCAGCTCTCATAAGGATTAAAATGATTGGGAGACAGAAATTGCAGGGAGAGGCGCTCGAGACTCCACCTGAGCGGGCTTAAGGTACTAACAATGACTGCGTCGGATGTCTGCTTTCATCTGTTAATGAAGACTTATTGATATAAGAAACTTCTCTTCACTTCTTTGACATAATGGCCCGGTTTCACAGACAGGGCTTAGATTAAGCCAGGATTAGGCCTTAGTTCAATTAGAGCATTTAAGTAGCTTTTATAAACCTGCCTTAGAAAAAACAACATTACTGGTGTGCATCTTGAGACAAAACAATGACACTGACATATTTTTAGATATACTTTCAGTTACAGTAAAACAGTCCCGGGACTGGACTTAAACTTTATCTGTGTAACCGGGGGTTTATGTTTTATATAAGAACTCACAGAAAGAGAAAAGGAAAGAAAAAAAGACTGAAAGAAAGATACACATCTTATGAGAGTGTCCTTTATTTTATATGTGTACATAAATATCGCATATCAAATAAACATTATTATCAAAATATACACAAATACTAAGGAAATTATATTTGTTAATAAATAGGTAAAAACAATAAGTTACAATAGGGTTTTATTATGTTATTCTAGTTGCGTACCAAATGACGCACTATGCACTTATACACTGTACTCATGCACTATGTACTCAACCAAGTAGTGTATGGATTTTATATGGTTATTTTATCATTCAACATCTGAGTCTGATGCCCCTCTGCTACGTAATTAAATCTTCGACAGTCCAACATTCCACACATCGTTTTTTGGGGGGTTAATTAAGTGCTTCATCCAGGTATTTAAAGTCCACTTGTTCATTTTGATTTTTTTTTTCAGTGCATACACGCTACTCGCACTGTTTATACTACAAAACGGCATAGCGTATAAGTGTGCGAATTGAGACGCATGTGCAATATTTCTGTAGTGCAATCCACACCAGTGACATCAGTGTGACTTCTACCTGAAACAAAAAACAATTTTCCATAAACAACACACCGATCAAAATAAATAAAGTGAAATTGGGGTTCGTAGATGTTTTAAAGGTAGCCTACTTGGATAGTTCACCCACAAATTAAAATTCTGTCATCATTTGCTCACCCTCAAGTTGTTCCAAACATGTATGAGTTTCTTTCTTCTGTTGGATACAAAAGAAGATATTTTGAAGAATGTTGGTAATCAAAAAGTTGATGGTAGCCATTGACTTCCATATTTGTTTCCATATTTGTTTTTTTCATTTTGATTACCAGCATTCTTCAAAATATCTTTCTTTGTGTTCAACAGAAGAACGAAACTCATACAGGTTCGAAACAAATTGAGGGTGAGTAAATGAAATAAAAAGCGAGTTTTTATTTTTGGGTGAACTATCACTTTAAGAAGGGACTACAGCCATAGAGACCTGAATATAATAAAGAAACCATAACTTTGTGTCTTTGAGACTATTTTACATTTAAAAACTTACTTTCTCGTCACACCATAATGTTCTTCTTCTCTAGTTTCTCTCTCTCGTTAGTGGAGCTCAGGAAAGCTGCCTGAAAGCGATGATGTGTTCTATAGCTGGAATATAAAAACAAAACAACACTAAATACATTTAGTACAGTTCTCCAGAATACTCAAATCTACTTACTTCTTTGCTCTTATTTAATAATAATGTAATTGCTTCCCAATGTACTTGATTATAGTTGAATGTAGGAATAGTTGTATGTTGTTATTTCTTTTTGTATGGTGAATTTACATTTAAAAAGAAACTCAAATCTGATTGGTCAATCACAGAATCGTTCAGGAACGTAAACACGCACACACTCACACACACCCCAAAGCCCAAACTGTCTTAGTAACTTATTAGAAACATACGTTTTCAAAAATAAACATGACTACAATTTGCGTTTTCAGTATTGTTGTGTGTAATTTACGTTGTAAAACAAATTTCGTCAACCTAAGTTTACCACAGGCTTTATTTTACTCATAAAGTGAAAAACCCCATAGGAAAATCTCAAGGGAACCAGGGGCGAATTAGTCTTCCGGGTTTTGACGTCATCCCTGCACCATATTACTAACCCTCATGTCGTTCCAAACCCGTAAGACTTTCGTTCATCTTCAGAACACAAATGAAGATATTATTTATAAAATCTGACAGCTACGCTACTACCACTTTCAAGCCCCAGAAAGGTATTAATATCATTAAAGTAATCCATGTGACTCCAGTGGTTTAACCTCAGTTTTATAAAGCAACGCAAGTGGTTTGTTTTTGCAAAAAAGCATATTAATTTACCACCTTATTTTCAAAATATTAATCTCCAATGCGCGTTCACACAACAAAGTCTGCTGATGATTGACAGCTACGCAACTACCACTTTGACACTTCAAAAAGTTCATAAAGAGATCGAAAAACGAATCCGCATGAATTGAGTGGTTAGGTCCAAATGTTCTGAAGAGACTCGATCGCTTTTATATGAACAGATTGAATTACGGCTTTTTATCACATATACACATATATAGTTTTACAATCTCTTTGTTAACTTTTTGAAGTGTGTTGTGGAAATTTTAATAGTCATTGATCCCTAACAGATATCATAAGAGAGAGAACCTATTCAATGTGTAAAATATATGTGTGTACATGCTTGTGCGTGACGTTTCAGGAACATATGGGACAGAACGACTGACCTTAGGGACAGCCAGTTTTGGCCAGTTTATTTCAGTACCAGTTTGTGTCTTTAAGTAGAGACTGAACAGCAGTAAGGACCTTATCTGAGTGGGTGAAAGGTACAGCGGGTGAAGAGGAACCTTGAAAAGAGTATAAAGACTGTCTCATATCTTCCTGTTGTGTGTCACTCCTCGCACAGATTGAACTTTGTGTGTTTGGGACTGAACCTATTCCTGCAGGAATAAAATACTTCTTTTTATTAATTTGACTCTGAGTGTCTCTTACCCAGTGATGATGTTTAACAGAAGTTTTGCCACAACAATCTTGGTGTCAGAACAGTGGGATTCCTTGGATGTGCCTTCTGGACCTGAGAGCGGACGGTGTTTGGCCACCTGGACTGAGCAGTTCCAGCTCTACCTCGTAAATTTCAGAGAGAAAGGCCGACCGCTATGAGGGCCAGGAGAAGCTCCACTGACTGGAATCAAATAAAAGCGAACCCGTGGCAACTCAAGACATCTCTGGGAAGAGACGGCTAAAATATTTTCTTTTGGGCTAAAATATTTTTCAATTTGTGAGTAAAGCCATAGTGGCTGGGTCTGTTCGTTTCTGTGGTGTAGGTCAAGAGTACTGATGCAATAGGGCTAACTGCGCGAAGTATGTTTTACAAAGCAAGTCACGGGGTGACGGATTTGTAGATCAGGGGATCTTCGTAAAGTGATAGTTGCGTAGCTGTCAATGGAGGGACAGAAAGCTCTCAGATTTCATCAAAAAGATCTTCATTTGAGTTCTGAAGATGAACGAAAGTCTTACGGGTTTGGAACGACATGAGGGTGAGTAATTAATGACAGAATTTTCACTTTTGGGTGAACTAACCCTTTAATGAGTGCTATCTTGTTTTATATAATACATCTGGCGCCATCTAGCGTCTCAATTGTAATGTAGTGAAAATGACCTCAGAGGACTTCATTACTGTAATATTGTCATGTTGGGGTCCTGATCTTAAAGGGATAGTTCACTTTGAAATTAATTTTTGGTATGTTTTAGCTTACCTCAAGGGCATCCAAGGCGTAGGTGTCTTTGTTTCCGCAGTAGTTTCAATTTTGATATTTTTAGGTCAAACCGTTCTTGTCTGTCAGTCATATAATGCAGGCAGGTCTATGGTCACCACCTCAAAGAGCATGAACATATAAGTCCAAATTAAACATGATTTAATGACTCGTAAATGTAAGTACACATTGATGGCCTAAGACACGAAACAAGCAGTTTGTGTGAGAAAACGAACAGTATTTATATCGTTTTTACCTCTTGTAAACACAGCCACGTCCAAGTGATCTGAGGGCGCGGGCGCTTCGGTCTGCGCAAGCGCCGGAAGTGATCTCTCGCGCGTGTACGTCACTCGTTGTTTACACAGAGATTTCGGAAGTGTTACCTTTCACTGTGAAGATCTAAACATATTTAGATATAAAGGAAATCGCAATGGAAGACGATTTCGATATATCAACAGACAACGTTGAATTTTTTCAGAGAGATCCCTTCCGGCGCTTTCCGGCGCTTGCGCAGATCAGATAACTTGGACGTGGCTGTGTTTACAAGAGGTAAAAACGATATAAATACTGTTCGTTTTCTCACACAAACCGCTCGTTTCGTGTCTTAGGCCATCAATGTGTACTTACATTTACGAGTCATTAAATCATGTTTAATTTGGACTTCTCTGTGCATGCTCTTTGAGGTGGTGACCATAGACCTGCATTATATGACTGACAGACAAGAACGGTTTGACCTAAAAATATCAAAATTGAAACTACTGCGGAAACAAAGACACCTACATCTTGGATGCCCTTGAGGTAAGCTAAAACATACCAAAAATTAATTTCAAAGTGAACTATCCCTTTAATAGGAATGACTGGGTCACTGCATTCCTTATATATAAAAACCTTTTGATGCACAGGCTTTCGCGTAAATGCTTAAAATGAATTTAATAGACAAATATAAATAGTGCTTGCTTACATAGCCTATGAATTTCTTCACAAAAATAAAATTTTCATTGAAATTATTTTTAAAAAATGGATTAGATGGACTGGACAGTGGAGAAAGAAAAGCATCATAAAGTGTCCAGAATGAATTCCTTCAAAAGCCTGCCAAGATACACCAGGCAAAGTTGGTTTATGAATATCCAGTATATATGAGCAGATTTGGAATCTGTAGAAGCTCAAACCGGCTATATTTCCCACGTTTTGGTCGCCACATAATTTCCATACTTCCATTTGTGCTATCTCATAGTTTTGATGGCTTAGTATGATTAACAATAATAATGATATAGAATAGGTGTGTCCAAACTGGTGGTGTATAAATCTGTCACAATAGGTGCCTATTATATCCCAGGCGTGTTTTGTGAGTGTAAATGAATGAGTGTGTGTGGGTGTACTGAATATTTAGCAAGCGTATTCTGAATGTAGTGCGTACTTACTGCACGCAGACCATAAGCAGGATAGCTAGACAGCTGATGATTGACAGGACGACAGCCATGATGACGAGCGCGGTGTGGGTCGTTTCAGTGCTGCTCTCGTCCCGGGACGTCCCGAGGAGCTGGATCCCACAGCGTTCTCCGTCATAACCTCTCTTACATCTGAAACAATCATACATTCAATACGTTACACAAACTGAATGCAACATTTGCCTGATATTCATTCATTTAAACTCTTTATTTGAATCCTCTGAGTGCACGTGTGTGAGATGTTGTGTGCCACTCACACACAGACGGGCTCTCTCAGGCCGTGCAGGTACGTGCAGTGGCCGTGGATACAGTAGTCCACGTGAGAGGTCAGGCAGGGGTCAGCGGTGGTGCTGTGGCTCCTCTGACTGGATGTGTGGTTCGGCTGAACAGGAGTGATATTTTTATTCTTTTTTCGTCCTTTGTTCTTTTTGCGCCCGGACCGCTTTTGATTCTGCTCGTCTCTACTGACTTGGGCTACAGAAAGACATAAGATACATGAGAGACTTTAATGTGTGTGAGATTATTTGCTTTCTATACTTTTATTTATTTAATTAAACGATTTTCATTACCATCTTTTTCACCAAATATCTCTACACTTGATCAATTTATTGAATTCATTTAAAGGCACACTATGCAGGAATTCCGTTTTTGCCAAACAGCGACCCCTAGAGTTGCTGTGGAGTATTTGTATTTAAAGGGTAACTAAACCCCTGGTCAGAGCCTGACTCCACCCACTGGCAATATTTGAAAAATTCTGGAAAAGTGGGCGGAGCCCAGCGGAGATAGAGGGGATGAACCGATACTCTATCCTGATCGTTTTCAATACTCGCAATTCCAACTCCTGACTCGCTACAGTGGTTTTGACGAAACAAGATGTTTTTTATACTGCCATGGTAGTGGTAGCTCGTACCAAGGGCGTGGTAAGCTGAAACCTGCTTACGTCAGCTCTCACCGCTACCGTCACGAACTACCGCAAACATCCAATAGGAAAATTCAACTGCAGTAGCCACCGTTCAACCTGAAGAGGGCAGCACTCAGACGTTTTTACACCATATATTGTAGAATTAAAACACTTTATACCCAAATGTCAAAAAAGTTACTCGAATCAATGAACAGCACTAATAAAGCCCCAGTCTTAAAGATCATTAATTAAAAAAAGTTGGTTTAGTGTTTAGTTACCCTTTAATGTTACTGTCGTAAATACCACTCACGCAGAGCGTCTCTGCCATAGACTGGTCTCTGCACTCACGGCCTGATACCCCTTCGAAGCTGTTATATTAAGGTACAAATCTTGCATAGTGTGCCTTTAAATAAGAGATCTAGCGCTAAAATGTGTTTTTGAACTCAAGCTGAGCGCTCGTGTCCGCTGCTATCAGTGTCATGGATACATAGTGTCTCTTGTGGCGGCGCGCGCGCACTGCCGCGCAGTCTTCACTTGGACGCGCTCTTCAATCTGTCACAGTTGCGGAGACTCTCTATTCATTCCGGTGAAATCACAAAATAAAATGCACAAAAAACGTGTCCCTGCTTGATATAGACTGTAACCACTGATGAACATATTCAGTTTTGATGAGAGAGAAAAAACGTAGAACCTGTAACCTCTGACACGCTTGGCAAAAGATACCACTAGACCATTAAAGAACTGAAACAAAACTTGCGGATCGATGCATTTATTTACGGGTTGAGAGGCTCATTATCTTTTCCTTTCCCTAGTCTCTTCCGACCGCGTTTTCTTTGCTTTTTTCATCGTCGAGTATCACGTCTGAAATGCGCGCAAGTGTCTTCGTGCTTCATGTTGTGGTTGATGTGTGTGACGTCGTTGCCGTAAAGCATATCGTGATTCTCGCGAGATTTGTCGGGGGCGCTCCTCTCAAACTTGCATTGCTGGTTTTTCCAGCGGCGTCCCCCCCAAGCTTCACTACCAGGATGATTCGCCTTACTATGAGTTTGTTTACCACCGAAATGACTTTGAAGCTGTTATATTAAGGTACAATTCTTGCATAGTGTGCCTTTAAGCTAGTGCAGCACAATTCTTCAACATTGTCGCAACATTTTGTTTTATTGCGTCCAATTTATTTAAGTTTGTATTAGAGAAGTTTACTTTACTCATTTGCATTGGAAATAAATGTATTTATTTAAAAAAAATTGCCATTAATGCAGTATTGCTGAAATTGATAAAGGGACTGGTACTGAGTGTGCAATCTATAATTTCCTTTTTTATCTTTATTTCAGAGTAAAATATGAACTGATCATACTTTTAGTGAGATTCACCCAGTAATTGTTATTATAATAAAACTGTGTATGTGTACCTTTGTGGTTCATAGATGATGCATTTAATGTCCTTATTAAAATCCCAAAAGGTGTTAGTTCGGGTAGTAATTATAATTAGCTTAATCTAAGAATAATTGAAGTCTGTGGGAGATTTTCACAAGTAAATTGACCTTTAGGTACAATATGTAACTTTTGGCCCTCTAGCGGTTGGAAACATGGATTGATTTTGCGGACGAACGTTGATTTGGTTGTGTTTCGGCTCTGTGACTGGTCTGTGTGGATGAATATGATTATCCCACTGCTCATAAAACATTTACAGGCTTAAGAGATATAACCAATTTAGATGAAAACGATCTCAAGCTGACTATCTGAAGACGTTACTGTATCTTTACCCGTTAATAGACACACTCCTTCTTTGGAAATAAGTTCCAGCACAGCTACAACAACCATAATGAAATGATCTTCACAATAGATAATGCTTTACAGTGAACTCTGTTAGAGAGCTACATGTGTCAATTTATCTGTTCAATAAAACACCTTACTCACCTGTTGAGTAATAAAAACACCATCTTCGTGACTCTTTTAAAATATTTCAAATCCCTCAGTTCTCGGCATCTCCGAAAAGCCAAGCCAATGTTGATTCTTGTTTAATTATGACTTTATGAGCTCTGTCATTATTATTACTGTTCTGTGTTTTTGTTTAAACGGGTAATTCCCCAGAGGTTTGAGATTTCGCGGTAGCACTCCATGTGTCAAAGTAGCCTGAGCAACTTTTCTCTATTTATGAGTATGACGAGACACACACGGGCGAGTGACGTATACTGTAGGCCTACGTATTTTCTCACAATAACTTGAAAATATAAAACACTTTTAAAAATATAAACACTTATAATAGGCTTACCATAGTGAATCAGGGTAAGTCAGCGTAAGTTTTTTTTTAACAAAAGAAGTTACAGTGTACCTTTAAACAAAGATGGATCATTGAACATTCCTGATGGATCCTGATCATCATCAGATTCCAAATCTTCACCCACGGCACTCTGAAGCCCCTCCCCTGATGATGACATCACGGTCACATGATCCAGCGCAGACGTGTGAGCGGCTGCTGATCTTATAGTGAAAACTGCACTGCAAGCTGCACACAGACACACACAAAATGAATCACAGTGTGTTATATCACATTAGAAGTGTAGTAACTTCTTTCTTTTTTTTGTGAGGAATGCTGTTTCGGCCCAGTTTGCAAATAATAACAGGATCAAACACTTCATTATATTACAATGACACATTAACCTCAATTAGGGTTTTTAAATTGAGGTTAATCTTCTAATGTTGCGGTTAATGTTGAGTCATCCTGTAAACACCCCATGTATATTGTACTGAGCAAACTAGCTGTGTATGTCTGTGTGAGAGAGAGAAAATGAGAGTGAAAGACATAAAAGTGAGTGGAAATGTTGAGGTTATATGAGGAAACATTGCACCTGCTGCAACTACAATACAAAATTAGAGTCCTTTATGTCTCCTTTTCTTGTTTGGGCACCTTTTACCTGGTTCTTTTTTACAAAATACATAGTTTGGGAACTGATCTAATAAATATAGCATTTCATTCATGCTAAAATGTACAATATGATACGTATGATGTGGGAAAACTGGTGGTCTTTTTGGTGTGTGTTCTTCTACATATTGAGCAGGATGCACATTATATGTGGGTTTGAATATGTGTCTTTGTCATGTTCATTTCTACACTGAAAAAAAATGTAAATTTTAAAATTGTACACCAAAGTGTAAACCATTTTCACTCGGAAATTGCTAGTACGTATCACAATTAATCACAAAGATGACGCAAGTAACACAGTGAATTAAATGTGAAGTTTTGTAGTAGAAAGACTGAAATAGTATTGTCTTGTGGCTACTCCAATAATCTGTTTTAGTTAAAGATTCAAAAAAAATTTTTTACAGTGTCAGTCAGTTAAAAAAGGGCAAAAATGCAGCAAAAAAAAAAGTATTTGACGTCAACATCGAAAGGTTGCTAGATTGATCTCTGCAAGGAGCAAGCAATTACTACTGAAGTCTTCAACATAAACTGCATAAAACAAAGCCATTACTAAGCTGTTCGCAACCTCTTCTGTAATGTTTTATTAATTAAACAAAAATGTAGGCTGGAACGTGGATTTATCCATCAGGAACTAATTGGGATCAAGACAAGTGGGCGTTATAATGCAGAATGGAGTCAGACCTGATGTGAACATGGAGGACTACTCCCATCCTGAAACTCAGCCAGCATCTGTTGGCTGAAACTAAAGCCATGGTAACGTTGTTGCATAGGTGGGGTAGTTTTGATGAAAAGATTAAGACAGGCATGTTTTTGTTTGGAATAACGTGCAAAAAGATGAGGAACAAGAAGGATCCATTAGATGTCCTCTTAGTAATCTAAGGTGTCATTGTCTGAAAATTGCAGGAACAAATTCCACCTGCCCTGGGCGTGTGGCAATAATTGATAATAAATTGATCTAGTCTATCGAACAATAATTGTATTTTTTTGCATGCTATTTTATACTGCACATATTCTGCTCTCCATCACATCAACTATTAGCATATTCCTTTAATATGCAACTATATTAAAGGTAGTGTAGACAAGTTCGGAGAAGCTAGCATTAGCTTTGAGAGCATGAGGTCCCACCCTCCCTTCAGAGCGACTCCAAAGCCACGCCTCCTTCAAAACACATGAACGCACACCGCAGTCTACAAAGCATCATGAGAGAAGGGGTTAAGTTAACTTGTCTTAAACAAACGCATAACATTATAAAACTAATGAACGTAAACATCATACAGAGCTCTGAATTGTAGCATCTGACTGCTGCAGATTCATTTCGGCGTTGATAGTGTTCACATAGAAACGCATAAATCCGAGTCTGAGGACGTGAACAGCTCCGGGAAGAACGTCACGGGTTGCCATCTCGTAATTACGGTTATGACATGACGTGAACGCAGCATGCGCTTATTGTTTTGGTTCAGGAGGTGTCTGTCTATCTACATGTGTTTCTCAAATGGAAGGCTGCATATCTCGGCTGCCACGTCATCAGATGTCGCTGAAGGCAATCTCAATTTGAAGGATCCCTGAAAGCCAGCCTTCGTTTCGCGTCCTTCATTCACCAGTTTTGAAGGATGCATCGGATGTATCCTTCGCTGCCTTAAATCACCCACAATCCACAATCACGAAAATAAACTGTCGGAAAACGAGTCGGTACTGAGCTTATCTGAGTTTATAATGAAATATAAGACAAAATTAATGTTTTCGGTCATGAAAGCATAGATGTTATCTTGTGTTTTGCTGTAAATTAATCACTAACGCTAAACTGACAATAATGTAAACCACTGGGAGACCGCAGTTGGCTGTCATTCACTGTATTGCATTAATAGAAAATATAAAGATTTGTATTTTTCCAAAATTAAGGGGTCGGGAACATGTGTGAAGTAGCCATGCACTCTTACTAGACCGTCTCATTCTAGCGTTTATTTGCCGAGGCGAACTCTAGCCTACAAGCGTCAGAATGATTGGACTAGAAAGGACGCAGCCTATAGGATTCAGTTTTCCATTTGAGAAACACCCTACAACTCTGCATAGTCTCATGGAACGCACTGATGACGTGTGTGATGTCTGTGGTGTTCAGGGGAACAGGCATTCAGACCAAATCCAATGATTGGACGAAATTTTTTTCAGAAGATTTTTTATTTTTAGACCACTTCTATTATTGATCGCTATCAGGATGTGAAGAGAGTCTCAACCAGTATAACAAAAAGTGTTTATAAATTAAACTTTGTCGTCATATATTTAGCTTTCTTTCCAATGAATACTTTGATATTTGGTAATTCAATGACATTCAGAAGTGGCGTATGTGCCCTTTTATCACAGGCATGATCTGGCGACCGCTGCAGTCAAACAAGTCTGCACCGAGAATGTGAGTAAATCTGTACACTCCTACAGACTGGAATCCTACGTTTAATTGTCAAAGAAATTCCTCACCTAGAAACACACACACACACACACCTATTATTGTGTTCCGGGATGACCTTTTAAACGTTATTTCAGAAAGCTAAATATATATATTTAACACAGCAGTGTGACGCCCTAATCCTCTGTCCTTTGCAATGAACAATAAGCGTTTTGTGACGTTGAACATGACAACAGACAGCCGAGATTTAAAATGTGTGGCATTTTGGCATACACCTATGGGAAAAGCCGGAGCAACTATTCAGAGGCATGTTACTACAAGCCGAATCAATTTCTCACAGCCCAGCCTGTCTGGAGACATAAACAACACACTACTATCTATACTTCACTCAGCTAGAGAGTTCATGCTATAGCTTTGAAGGAAGTTTACTATCCAAGAGTCAAGTCAAGGTGAAATTCAAATACAGTAAGTAAATGAATAAATGCCAAAAATGTACACTGAGCATGGAAGAGAATATGTTTCACAGTTTCTCATGCTTTTTTAAGTTGTTACTTTCAAATTTTGTGATTTGTGAACAGTTGTGATTTTAAAATTCATTTATAGGATTTGCAATCAAAAGGAATCATTTTTAAGCAATCTAAATATTTTACCACAAAGCATAATTAAGACATGTATTCACACACACACACAAACAAAACATGACATTTTATGAGTTAATTCATTTTTAAAGACTGGAGTTTTCAGGACTGGAAAGCACAATTTAAATTAATTTTTTTTTTTTTTAATATATTTTCCATTACCGTGTCAACACTTAGGCTGACAGGTCAAGAATAGGATGGAGAAAACCAAACTCACCGACACAGAGCAGCAGAGAGGAGAGGCGCTGTAGGTTCATGGCAGCTGACAGCTGAGTTCCGTGTCGAGTTTCTGTTTGTCATCTACTTATCGTTCAGGAGGAGCTTTTATAGGGAGGTTTCCCTTCACACAATTCAGAGATAATGTGTGTGTTTATGTTAGTGCGTGTTTGTAGGCGCCTTTTGTAAGGTAAATGATTGACGAGAGTCCATCTGTAGAATTCATCCAATGGCCATTCGTACGCATGCAAGTCATTATTTACCATTCATTTTCCATTTCACGTCACTGATGCTGAATGTTTCTAATACTGTACCTCCACTGTATTATGCTGTTGAGATTCGAATGGGATATAAAAATACTTCTAAATAAGTAAACATGCAAATGATTCATGTTTATTTTTAATTTTTATGCTCAAATGTGATAATGACTTTACATGCCGTTTTGGGACACAGAGTCACTGGAATTGAATTTGGCCATGGAATATTTGGGATGGAATATGAGATGCATCACGTCTGGAATAAAAAGAATGAAAAGAATGAGACATTTGGGAAAAATGCAATGAACAGATAGAGAGAAGCCAAAATACCACCAGTACGCATTGTTCAGTGGAGCTGCCTGTGTGTGAACACGGCTTCATGGGTCATTAATTATGATTACCGTCCCGGTAATTTGAGGCCCAAAAAATTACGGAGGCACGGTAGCTGTAGGAACGACCCGTTTCTTTGAGATTGCCATTATTAAACGTGTTTGTGCATCTTAAAGTCTGTTTCAGCCGCCTGCCGCGCAACATGTCCCTCACATCTGCATGGTAATGAGTTTCTGAAGAGCTCAAAAGGAAGAGAAATACAGCTAATGACCCTGAACCATTAACACATGCAGAACAAACTTAGCACTAAAGACCTCATTAAATGCTAACCAGAATTTAAACAAGAGTAAAAGACATTTTGAGGCACTATTGGATTCATAAAGCAGACGTTTCCCTCCGTTCAACTGTCAACTAAAAGCAATGCATTTACTACTGCACTGTGCTAGCTATACACAATAAATAGGCAAATGCATAAGAGTCTATGATTGGATTAATATTTCTATCATGTTATATGTTTGGCAACAGTTCTTCTAAACCTAATTGATTGAGTGTGTAGCTTTTAATTTCTTAAACAACTAAGACACATCATGGCCATTTTCCAGGATGACAATGTCTAGATTCACCAGGCTCAAACTGTGAAAGAATGGTTGTGAGGAGCATGAAGAATCATTTTCACACATGAATCCAGAGTTTAAACTCATTGAAAGTGTTTGGGATGTCCTGGAGGAGACTTTACAGAGTGCTGGACTCTTGCATTGACAATACCATATCTTGAGGAAAAACTGATGCACCTCTTGATGGAAATAAATGTTGTGATGTTATTTTCATGAATTAAGGTGCATCAATTTTTTAAATGAACATGTTATGTGTTCATGTGTACAGTTTCACAACGGTATAAAGGTAAGTTTGCATTCTGATCGTTTTGATAGCTGATCGTAAGTGTTCAATGATAACATCAAACATCTGTTTTTGGCTCAAAATATAAAACAGACAGGTCTGAAGGAGATGAGTAACAGCAAGAGACACACACTATTTTGAGGCAGCTCCTTAAAACTTGCCTGCAATGTAAACCAACTTGTTGGTGCAGCCCCACTGTTATGTGTGTCCTCAAATGTGACACAAAAGTCTAGAGGATTAAAGAGGCTGTTCCAACTTCCAACCAAATGGAACTGGATTAATATTCTGAATGTTCTGATCCAATCTGACTTCTGACCTGTAATGCTGCCTGGATCATAATCATACACTGTTCGCTCGTTGGCCAGAGGAGAACTGGCCCCCGACTGAGCCTGGGTTCTCCCAAGGTTTTTTCTCCATTCTGTCACTGATGGAGTTTTGGTTCCTTGCTGTTGCCTTGGCTTTTGGCTTGCTTAGTTGGGGACATTTAATATTCAACTATATTATTGATCTGCCTTACTTAAAGGTGCTATATGTAACTTTTCTTCTAAAATGAATCCTTTTTTTATTGCCTGTGTGTGAAGGGGTTGTAATCACACATTACAATGATCCACTTGTTGGGTTTTGGTATTACCTCTGAAGGCCAATATTCATATTTATATGTGAAGTCTCCGGGTCGGATTTACCGCGAAATACATCGGATGTGACGTCTATGCGACGGCACTGCAGCGAACGACATGGAGTCTGATAACACCCCAAAACGACCTGCCTCCAGCACAACACACACTCCAACACAAACTCCACATAAATATAAAAAAACAAAAAAAAGTTTTATCTGCTGAAGCTCGTCAGGACAAACGTGATTCTGATTGACGAAAACACGGATCAACATCGGCAGAGCTTTTGAATTATTAGTAAACTCTAATGAAATAGCAAGGTAAACTACATGAGACATGAAATGAATACAAAAGACTGTTCCAGGATAACAAAAAGTAGGCACTTTAGGATGTAACTTATTTTATGTACTAGATCTACTGTCTAACGTCACTCATCCCACTATCATATTGTTTATAATAAACATTTCCAGAAACATTCAGTACAGTAATGTTACTTCCTACCATCTTACTGTTACACTGACATTGTTCAGTCTAGTTCACTAACCGTTTTCGTTATCATATTATACATTCACCTATGCTGACATTGCTGATTGTGAAAGATACAGAATAGTAAGTGAAATGCCTTGTTATGCTAACACCACATGTCAGCTAAATGCAGTCAATGTAACGTTATCATGGTACGAGCATGGAGCATTAGCTCCAACATTCAGCATCAGTGACGTGAACTGGAAAATGAATGGTAAAAAATGACTTGCGTAAGATGGGGGCATCTTCCCCCATCTTATACCGTTTTTTTTTTTGGTTGTTTTTACTATTTTGGTAATACTTTAAATGACCACGATTGATCCATGTTAGGCAAGTTGTGTTAAATCCACCTTTTTACTTAGCAATATTGTTGTTTTATTGTCTATACTTATTGTTAATGTTTATTGTGTAAGTGATTAATGTTTGTTAATTTCATTAATAAAGTCTTATAAAGTGTAAGTAATGTTTTAGGTTAATCCCCAAAATATAATCTTAGGCTACATCATCAAACCCTATTTCCCGTATTGCGACAACAGAAAATGAAACAATTATTTCCTTATGTTTGCAGTTTTGTGAGTATTTTTAGTCCTGGACAACAAAAATCATTATTGAAATGATCAATATTATAATAGGTCTAAGCTGTTGGAATAGGCTCTGTCACTGCCAAATGGTTTTTAATTTTAATTTGTAGCAAATCAATTTATATAGAAGTTCAAGATAATGCATTTTATTTCCTGAATCGATAAAAGTAACATTTTGGTCAAGCAACATGGCATTTCGTTGGAAACTATGGTTACCACAGTAGTATACTTTTCGTAAGGTCATAGATCAGTGGGCAGTAGCCTACGGAATTTCAGACTATTGACAGCGCGCATGCGCAGTGCAACTTTTCCGCATTGAGCTCCTTCACGCTTCCTCATTGACAGCGCCTAAAGGAAGAAAGCAGCGTTCCCCTGTTTCATTTGCAGTTTTATACCGCTTTTACGTACTATTGACATCTTAAATAACTCGGAAGACTTCTTTAAAAGTCTTGGAAAGTTCAGAAATGTCAAAGCCTCCCCCCAAACCAGCTAAACCAGGTAAGAGGTGCGCGTGGAGGAAAACGCCTCGGCAAACCTACTAAAGTTTCATTATATATTCACATAGTTTTGCGTTGTTTCGTTGTTTGATAGCTATACAAACACTCGGATATTCGATGTCATACAATGAAATCTATATAAGAGCATGCAATTTTATGTTTAAGTGAACTTTCTCCTGCGGGTGGAGTTTGGCGTTTCTCCAGCGCAACGCAAGGCAACTTTCTTTGCGCTTTTCAAACGATTGTTAACATGCGTAAAACCACCACCACATCATAGCTTCATTGTTCAATGAACAAGTCATAAAGAGTGAAACGACTTTCCACAGATGGCAGGATTGGGTTTGGAAAGAGAAAATCACTCACGCCAGCCATTATCTGTGTTTCAAAACCCAGTGATCCGCCTATCAAGACAGCGCATTTCGTCAACGTAGAAGCACACTGCATTTTTTTTTTTTGTGCGTAATCGGTGCTTTTGAGTCGGCTGAGCCCAAAAAAAACAAAAAACGATGCCCAAAATGCTTTCTAGATAGTTTGCTCAACGGTTTTGAGTCACTGCAATTGACTTCCAGTGACCACTTCCCTAAATGAAAGAGCAGCTTCACTCTGCTTAGTGTGCAAAATTACACGACGTTTGGACTGGTGATTAAGCTGATGTTGTCCACTCTGTCAGTCAGAGATATGTGCTGTAAGAAGAGGTAAACGAGCATTGTTTGTTCTCAAATGATACACACCAGATTTTGACAACTAAATCTTCAGACTACAAAACTTAAATACAAGGTGCATTATATCATATGACTATTATTTTTATTATTAATGCAGTTAGTTTATGGTATTCAAAAATCATTTGAATGGTCTAAGTAGGCAAATGTATTGTTATTTAAGTTAAAAACTGAATATTTAGATGCTTATTGGTCTCTAGCTGTACAGTAGGATGTCCTCTTAGTAGTTTACTCCGAATGTGGGTCTGCGACGTCCAACATGCAAATTTTACTATTTGTGTAGCTGTAGGATGGAATATTTGGAATATTTAACATGTTTAGAAGTGGCCAAGGCTGCCAGAGTGTTTCCATTTCAGCGCCTGATCTGTAGGGAGTTTGGGAGGAGCCGGTTGGATCCCACAACTTTTGGTTGTTGCAGGCCGAATGGAAATACCTCTGCAGCCAGGAAATGCCCTTTGTTGGGCTTATAATGGTTTGTTTATTTATATATTTTGGCCTCAGGGCTTGGGTTCCTCTGGCTCGGAGGTTTCTGCGTCATGTGGTTTGCCCTGCATTTGAGCTATGTTTAGTTCTGACTCTGAGACTACCTGGCTGTAGATGTGATGGTGTTTTGCATATGGATGGGCTGATAGGTGAAGATAAGGATTTAACAGATGAAGACTGTTTTACCTGTAAACAGGCAACGCTGCACCTAAAATGTGTATAAAATGCTTCAGTCTACAATTATTTCCAATAGATTTCCTGTATATTATCATTTGAAATATAGAATTAACATCTATATTTATGTTTGTTTTAAACAGGTCAGGTCAAGGTGTTCAGGGCTTTATTCACCTTTGACCCAAGGACGGTGAGTTTTATTCTTTCAACTTTAGTTTGACCCATTTCTCTTTTATTTGGGTTTTTTGATTGTTTTAGCTAGACTGGATTGAGCTCATCATGTATATTTTCCTCTTTTTCAGCCAGATGAACTGTACTTTGAGGAAGGTGACATTCTGTACATCTCAGATACCGTACGTTTATGATCTCTCTTGCTACTGTTTGGAAGTACTGATACTTCCTTCTTTTATTATGCAGATATTCATGACTTCCATGATTTTCTAGTGATTTCTGGGTTTATTTTTTAGAGTGACAGTAACTGGTGGAAAGGGACATGCAAGGGAAGGACTGGTCTTATTCCCAGTAATTACGGTAAGGAAAGCAAGTGGCAAACTAAAACCTACAAACCATCAATCCTTGACTAGTACACCTGAAAGAATTTTTAACTTCTGTTAAACGTTAAACAAAATGTGTAAATTATGTGATGTTTACAGACTTTTATGATGTCTGGAAAGTTTTATTAGAGATAATCAGTGGTGTAACTATTACTATTGCGCATATACTTGGGGTTAGGGATTGGTACGAATCCCAGCCTTAAGTATCAAATCTTTTCATGTGTTATTATTATTTATAAGTGAACAGACTTTTGCCTGGCAGAAAATAAATTGGGTGAAAATGATGTAGTCTCAAGGCATTGCCATTGGTATACATGCATCTTTCAGAGTTTCATTCTCGTGTTGATGGGATTTGTCTTTTCTCAGTGGCTGAACAAGCCGAGTCCATAGACAACCCCATGCATGAAGCAGCCAAGCGAGGTACTCAAATACAGACTCATCTAGCATTTTGTTTGTTTGTTAACATGGTGAAACAATCAAATGTTTTGCGTGTGAATGCAGGCAATCTGAGCTGGCTCAGAGAGTGTTTGGATAATAAGGTTGGCATCAACGGACTGGACAAAGCAGGGAACACCCCTCTCTACTGGGCCTGTCACGGAGGGCATAAAGGTAAAAGATGCACAAATTGGTAAAAACATATGCTTTGACTATTTTCAAATGCTAAGATCTGCGGCGCAGCAGTAGTGCCATGGCTCCAGACTGCAACCAAACCTGCCGGTGCAACTAAATTTGCCTATGGCTAAGCCACACCCTAGAATGTAGATTAACCAATCACAGCGTAGCCAAGAACGAGCTCCCACAGAGGTCCGAAACTAGCCTGGGAAAACCCAGACAACTTCCGGCAAATTTAGATTTGCTCTGAAAGTTAGTCTGGCAAAGAGCTCATTCAAGCCCATTTCCAATCCGCCGAAATCGAGGCACCAATCAGAAAAGTTGGGGCGGGCTTTACACGATGACGACAGCGCTGGGATTTTGAAGCAGATTTTGTAGCCTACATTACACAGATGGATGCCGCCGTCGAACATCACTCGTTCGAATCAGCTATCGCGTCTGTTTTAAGCGATTTGAACGTTTCCCTTTTAGTTAAAAACCGAGCAAAGAACAACACTGGGAGATGTTTCTGCCGCTCTGCATACGTCATCTCCTTCATCGCTCTGATTGGGTTTAGGTCTATCCGCGACGTCCGTTGGTGACGCCCTTCTGGAAATGATTTGTCTATGACGCTTTGCCAGACCATAACTCAGTTACAACTGACAATGGTCTGGTTTTAACCAGGCTAGTCCGACACTTTTTCACAGCGCTCCATAGACTTTAACACAGGCGTCTCTTAATATTTTTGTTCTCGGCAGGCAATTACCGTCGTAATTTTATCAAAAATATGGTTAAACGTTGTCCCTGGGGCATTTGTAACACAGATACGCGTTTCCCAAAGAGGTTGGAGGGGGGTGTGCGTTTTGTTCCCTTCCCAAAAGTGAAGGAAAATAAATACAACGTTATACTCTCGTAGTCCGTTTGCTTTGTAATCACGATTATAGAAGTGAATCGAGACCTACCCAGCTTTGCATGAACAGTGTTGCTCCTTGATAGTGTTAGTCCCAGCGTCCGCCTCGATTAGTAGGATATGCGGTGGTTAATTTTTTGACTGTGACCGGTATGCTTTTGCCTCTATTTGGATGCCTTGTTGTTCCTTGCGTTTCACCTGTATGTCATGAATATAGCCTTCGGACGTATATTGCAGCCGCTTTTGCCTACTTCTATCGGACACTTTATTTGCTGCTTTATAAAAGTTTGATAAAATTTCAGCAGGAAGAGCTGTCACAGCATAAGCCATGTTGATACCAGAGCCCAGATGAAGTTTGTTTGTCAGACGTAGCAACAGTAACTAAGGGGGGCGGGGCTTAGCCAAAGGCGAATTGTGACACTGGTGCCACCACCACGTTGCCCAACTGACAAGAGCTGCCTTTTATGTTGAATATGAGAAACAGCAAACGAAGCGAAACTGCTTGAGGTGCGCGGACTGTTGATCAGCTCGAAGCAATAATAACGCAGCGCGAGTTCAGAACAGGTATTCGTGCGCCGATCTTGATCACATGACACTGTTACTACTGCTAAAAATGAACAACATCGCAGCAAGATTTAGTGGGAAGCATTCAAATTCAGCACAGAATTCTCCGTTAAAAACCCCAGGTATCTTATCAAACAGCGCTGATGTGGAAACCAAAAGAGAAATTGTGCCAGGAACGAACAAGTTATAGAAGGCTTTTCAATCAACAAATCACCAAAATTTGCCGTAGATTTAATGTAGCAACACTAACTGAAACTGTGGTATTGTGGCAGAAATAGACAAATGTTTTTATACATTATTCATCTCAGGACACGTACTACCTTTTAAGAGTGAAATTCAAGCACTTTTCAAGGGCTTTTTCTAGCACTTCAAAGCTCTAAATATTATAAATTTTTAATGTGATGATTTGTAAAACTAAAAGTTTAAAGTTGTAGAAAAACTAAAACTTGGCCTCGTTTACACTGTCAGTGAAATGTGACCCAATTCCGATTTTTTACTCGTATGCGACACAGATCGGATGTGTTCTATGACAGTGTAAACAGGAAAAAACCGCATGCATTCGGATATTTCGAGATCGGTTTCAGGCCTCGTTCATATGTGGAAATAAATCGGATATGTGCCTATGCGACTGTCATGTCAACGGGCAGATCGGATTTTCCGAGGCATTAGGTTGCGTCTCCGCGGTTTAATGACGAGAGAAACCCCGACGCATCTGCGGATGGATGGATGGCCCGACGAAACGTGTCGTCGTAGGAGAGAGGAATGTGGACACACGTTGACACCATAGCTGCCAACTCTCACGCATTGGCTGTGAGACACCCGCATTTGATTGGTTTCACACGCTCACACGCCACACTCCCGATTTCTCACGCTGAAGTGTCAACCCGGGCGGTCAAATGCCTGGAAGATGAGTTTATCTATATATCTACCTGTTGAGCCACTCGTGATCGACTAGTTATACCGCAAATTCGTTAAAAATCTCCCGTTATCTAGAGCGAGCGTGTATGCGAGACAGAGATTGTGCTCCAAACCGCGTAGAGCGAGCGAGAGACCTTGCGCGAGCGAGACCCCCCCCCCCCCCCCCCCCCCCGTCAACAAATCTCACTCGTCTCTCCCCCCCCGTCAACAAATCTCACGCCGAGGAAAAGTCAAAAGTTGGCAGGTATGGTTGACACAACATATCAAAGGTTGGCTTGCTCATCCTAAAATTTCGGACCCACTGCTCCTCGTTAAAGCCCGCCACAATCTCATGAAAGGGATTTTTTTTTCACTTGGCATTTACGGCAAAAATAGTTTTTGCGTGCATGATACGCACTTTATGGCGTTTAATGCGCACGTTTACAGTGCGTATCATATGCAAGCAAAAACTATTTTTGGCGTATAAATGGCATGAGAAATAAAATTTGTGCTATAGATACTCACTTTTATGAGATCGTGTTGTATGTTGCCACCTGTCCTGAGATCTCGCTGCGCGTTCATCCATCTGAGCAAGAAGACCCCTTTAAACATGCGCGATGTTTCAGTCAAGTGTAAACACATGACTCGGATATGGGTCACAATTTAAAGAACGTGTAAACGGACGGTAAAAAAAATCGGATATAGGCAACAAATCAGAATTGGGCATCAAGACCTGCAGTGTAAACGAGGCCTTTGTGGCAAACAAACACTTATCTAAAAAGAAAGAAAATAAAGACATGAAATTACAACTCTAACCAGTAGATGGCGGGTGAGGAGTAAGAGTAGAATAGTTAAATTATCCCTATAAAAATTTGGTTTTTGCATGTTACTGTTGTTAATAAAAGTTGCTACTGCTCTCAAATGTTAGTCTGGAGCCCTGAGCGCACAAGTTTACCCCAAATAGGAATGACATTTTGTCTAATAATGGCACATAAAAGCACCATAAATGCATGTTATGCAAACAAATGAGTAAAATTAATAAAAACGTTTGTTCTTAGATGTGGTGGAGATTCTGCTGAGTCAGCCGAACTGTGAGCTCAATCAGCAGGTACGTCTAATGTTGGGTAAAATGTTTTTAACGAATCACTGTTCTTGAGATCAAAGTCGTTTCATTTGTATTTGTTAATATGCTAAATGAGATCAGCTTACAAAGGTGTGTATGCAAAAAATAATTTTTTCGGGAATGGAATCAATTTTGAATGTTCTTTATTTTTGACTCGATATAGCCTATTAAAATGATGTGTGTTCATTTCCACAACAGAATAAACTGGGAGACACGGCTCTACACGCAGCTGCCTGGAAGGGTTATTCAGATATAGTTGAGATGTTGCTCAATAAAAGTAAGTAAATACGATTTTCCTCATAAACCCATTCGCTTTCTTAAACATATTTTTGTGATACAAGGGTTTATAAAAAGGTTTGTAAACTGATTCATATGTGAAGTCGTTCTACAAGTGATCTAGTTTTGTTGCGACACACGTTTGTGATGTTTTTTTTTTTTTTAACTATCTGCAGCTGCTCAATATTGTTTCATTGTTTATATTGCGTCTGTGTTCATATTGTAGATGCCGGTACAGATGTCCTCAACAACGAGAAAAAGACAGCTCTGGAAATGGCCACCAATGCACAATGTGCCTCTCTGCTGAAGAGGAAACTGGGAGGAGGTGAGTCAAAAGGCGTCTCCTTTCAGTTACCTCCTTAAAATATCACTTCCTGTGAGAAAGATTCACACAACTGTCTTGTCTGTTGGATTTACAGTGATTCTGCGCACCCACAGTAATGCAGAGGAGTATCTCGACGATGAAGACTCCGACTGAGAGAAAAGCAGCACTAATGAAGCACAAACCATCACATGTATATAGTTCAGATATCTGTGCGAGAAACATTACTTACAAAGGTTGGGAGGATATGAAAGCTGTTTGCCGTTGTCTGATTGTCTCAACTTTCTTCTTTATTCCAGTTCATTGTTAAAAGTATTGCAGTACTTGTCTGTTCAGTACACATTTAGGATGGACACAGTGAACATTTGTTCTTCTATTTGCTGCTCCTCTCTTAACTGTATTTATTCTGTAGAACTGTCTTTATGATTTTAAAGTGCCTTCTTTAATAGGGAGATCGCCCAGAACATCTCAAAGCCCTGGGTCTTTTTATTCTAATAGTTTTATGCACGTACATGCGTGTGTGGCCCTGAGCATTTTACCTTTTTAATTGTGTTTGTATGTATGTGTATCAAGATGTTCTTGATGATAGAGTGGCATGTAAATCCAAACATTACAACTATGCAAATAAATCAGTGGCCTTTGCTTGATATGCAAGACTCAAGCTTCGAGCTCAAATGGATAGTTATTTGAAAGTGCCCTCTTTTGATCTTGTGTGCATTAATTTAGCCTTATTTTCTTAGGTTAAAAAAGGGTAGTTGACTTGAGGACAAGCTTTTTTCTTTTTTATAAGTTTAGATGCTGCCATTTCAAAGTATTTCACCACTTTTAATATAAAAATTATATATAAAGGCATACTAGGGTAGAATACATTTTTAATCTTACTCTCCAAATTGTATGATGAAACTGAGGAAGTTGAATGATGATAAAAAATGATTCATCAAAATTGCAGATCTTTCTATATTTTTAACATGTAGGCCTAAGCCTAATATATAAGACATGAAGTAAGTTCAACTACCCTCAAACCTAGTACCAATTAAAGTTATTCAAATACCTTAAAAACAAGTGTATTTTCGCTATGGTTCCTTTTACTAAAATAATAAAGCGTTAAATTAGCTTATAGGCTACTTTTATGAACGTTTGTATTTGAGAGCAAAAGTGCGATTCATGCCAAAGAAATTTATTACAATCGCTCTACAACTTAGTTTTTAGATGTAATTAAAGTCCATCTTAATTCAATGTTGTTAATCAATTTGCTTTAATTTTTTAAAGAAGAAATTTATATAATTTGTCGTGAAAAGACTCACCTCAGATACTCGCGCCATTTTGCTGTTGCATGCATAGTGGTGACAACGCTTGAGCATGAAAAAATTAATTAGCAATTTACTTAAATAAAATTATTTGGAAGTGTTGAAAATAAAAAATAGCCTACCTATAAAATTCAACTGCCCAACTCTGACCGAAAATTAAAATCTTCGGATATGTATGAAACTATTTGTGATATAGGGTAGACAATCGATTTGAACTAAAAGCTTGCTTGAATTTCTTTACAAACCTATTTTTTAATGGAGTTGGAGTGGATAGTGAGAAAGCATCAGCAAGAGTTCAACATGTAGGCTATGCATGGATTTTTTAAAAACTTTTTTTTTTTTTGCTGGTTGTTACATAATTCCACTTACATTGGTGTTATTTAATAGTTTTGATGGCTTTACTATTATTCTATAAACGTGCAAGATAATAGTAAAGAAGGTGTCTCCAGTCTTTTGAATGGTTTTGTGATTTTGGATTCAGAGAATCTGAAGTTTTAGTTTCTCAACTAGCAGCTATCAGGTCATTGACCCTGCTGACCTGAAAAAAATTCAACATAACTGTTCAGTTATGCCTAATCTTGTTACAATTTACAAATTCAACAAGTTAGTTCTGAAATAAATTGCTGACTTTCCTTTTTGTTCTGCCAATCTCAACTGCTGAAAGTGCATTTTAGATTATGAGCGATACACTAATGGCACAATGTCAAATCAATAGTTTTAGCGTGTGATGTATTCAAGAATTTTTATATTAATTATAACCACAGGCCTGAGCTCAGACATACAGTAATATTGAATACATATATTAACAAAGGGCTTCAAATTTAACCATACGGTGGCGCAACAGAGCCAGACAACAGGCAGTTGCTCTCAAAATTTTAGTAAATTTAAAATTCGACATCTGAATGTATCCTGTAAGCTTAGAAGGATAAGTCTTACCCCTTAGCAAAAGCAAAAAAAAAAAATTTGAATCATGAGTGAATGCTCTTTAGCATACTATAAAATGCAATTCTGACCATTTTAGTACATTTATGCTTTTGGCAGACGCCTTTATCCAAGGTGACTTACACTGCATTCTAGGAATACATATCAGTTTATGCATACAATATGAATTTATTTACAACATGACTTTAATACCGATAGAAAACATCGCATTGAAGTCCTATTAACAGCATACAATCATAAATCAAAGAAGCATAAATCAGTTAATGAGATTCTGGTATTTATTCAATGCCTTGTACATTTGTCATTTTAAACCCCATGTTTTAAATACAATGTGCATGTCATCATTCATTTTAAAATAAAATATGACATCACCCTGAAGAAGAAAATCTTTAAATTACTAAAACGGGGGGAAAAAAGTTAAAGCTTTTGACATCAATTATAATTCATAAGACTTGAATACATTTACTTGCATACAGTAGGAAATCAGATGAATGGAAAAGAGGAGAAATGTCTATCACAAAATTATTAAAACTTATAATACAAACGAGAACTTAAGACAAAAACCATTGTAAGAAAAATCGCACATTATGCCCGGTGGCAATAGGCACATTGTGGAACACCACATACTCAAGGAAATGGGCATCAGGGCCCACACTGGTATCTTTAAGAAGGCTTTTTATAAGAATAAAATAAGTATTATAACAGCAGAAGTGATTCGGTTCCACAGTCAAACTCTCATAAAGGCATAAGGATGGAAGTTAAAACCACTCCAGCCATCCAGAAAAACAGAAACAACCCATGAATATAAAAATAGAAACAATCAACAAAAAAAAAAAAAAGTAAAAGCACACTTTATAAAGTGATAAGACAGAGATATGCATGCACAATAGGGTCAGGGCTGAACAAACTCTCGATTACCAAAAATGATAAAAATACACAGAATATGGCATTGAGATTTTGACGATTTCAAGCTGTTATTGCACCTTTAAGAAATGCCAATGGAGAAAAGACGCTAAATAAAATAGAGTGTGCTGTTATCCTAGAAAGCAGCGAAACAGAACAGGGTTTTGCCTGAAATGTGCAAAGAGATGTGTACATAGTTATGTTCAAGTTAAGCTCAATGTGTGTGTAACAAGTACAAAAATAGATCTCGATTTGTCCGATGCAGTCGATAATATCGAAAATAGCTCCACGCAATTTAAAGACCTAGTCTCTGATAACATCTGGATCCAGGAGAAGCGTTTAAAAAGGCTGTTAAAAATCGTAATGGCCTCCCTGAAGATCTACACCTGTCTGACAGTGCTTTGGCACAGGAACAAGCTGGTGTAATGCTCACTATCACCACAAGATGACACAATTTTAAAACTCGACCCGTGGGCCTCTGATATTGGCGTGTGTGATCGAACACACACTTGAACACGATCAGATTCTAGCTGAAGAGCTTGACGAAGCAGCTTTGGCAGTAGGGTTTGTCGTTCTGCTCTTTGAATGTGCCCTTGTTCAGCTGTTTCAGGCAGAAGGCGCAGACGAAATGCTCGGGGTGAAACTTCTTGCCCATGGCAGTGATGCAGCGGCCGGTAATGGGTTTCTGACAGCCGGAGCAGAGAGAGCCGCGGTGCTCGTGGTAATGAGCCTCACAGTACGGCTGCCCTTCATGCTCGAAGAAACTACCGTTCACAAATGGAGTGAAACACTCCTGTGGAGGAGAGAGAGAAAACAGAAATCAGTCAGTTACACACATATGATTCAAATAATGCTACACATAACACAGCACAGACAGTACATGCAGCAATATAGACACATCTGATAGCAACATGAGCTAGTGTATTAATCCAAAACACACAGATAGCAACCTAAACACCCACATTTATATATATATATATATATATATGTATACACACACACACAGGTGAAACTCAAAAAATTAGAATATGGTGCAAAAGTTAATTTATTTCAGTAATTCAACTTAAAAGGTGAAACTAATATATTATATAGACTCATTACATGCAAAGTGAGATATTTCAAGCCTTTATTAGTTATAATTTTGATTATGGCTTATAGATATGAAAACTCCAAATTCAAAATTAGAATATTGTGAAAAGGTTTTCATATCTGTAAGCCATAATCATCAAAATTATAACAAATAAAGGCTTGAAATATCTCACTTTGCTTGTAATGAGTCTATATAATATATTAGTTTCACCTTTTAAGTTGAATTACTGAAATAAATTAACTTTTGCACCATATTCTAATTTTTCGAGTTGCACCATATTCTAATTTTTCGAGTTTCACCTGTATATAAACACACACACACACACACACACACACACACACACACACACACACACACACACACTATGGCCAGACCACCTGCCTAATATGCTGTTAGTCCCCTGCGTACTGACAAAACAGTGCCGACCCGCCAAACCAAATATTCTACAAGACCTCTAAAGGTGTCCCGTGGTTTCTGGCACCAAGACGTTAGCAGAGGATCCTTCAAGTTGTAGGTTGCGAGGTGGAGCCACCGGGGATTGAATTTATTGGTCCAGCACATCCCACAGCTCTGGGGAATTTGGAGGCCAGGGCAACACCTTGAACTCTTGATCATATTCCTGAACAATGTGTGCAGTGTGGCAGGGCGCATTATCCTGCTGAAAGAGCCCTCTTCCATCAGGGAATATCTTTGCCATGAAGGCATGCACCTAGTTTGCAACGTTTAGTTAGGGGGCACGCAGGGGCGGAGCTTCATCATGGGGCCCTCTGCTACCAAGTAATTTTAAAATTAAAACCGTAAAAAAAACCCATAAAATATCTGATGAATACATATGTAATAATAATGTGTCACTTGTTGAGCCAAGTAAGCTTATATGTTAAATAAAACACAAATGCTATCTCGTTCTTTTCAGAGAACAGTCTGTTTTCTTTCGTTTTGAATTGTTCTGTAAAAGTACACATTTCGAGCTTTCTATAGATATATTTCTCAGGTGTGTGAGGCAAGTAGGCCTACTCTGTGTTTCGGTTCATTTATGACTCACAAGACGAGCTCCAGTTCACGCGCCGGCGCCTCCGTGTCGTGATTATCTTTTGTCTGCTATATTTACTTCTTATTTATTAAATCCAGGCAATTGGTTGATGAAACATTGATTAAAATTAAGATACAATTAATACAAAACGAAATTCGCCTTAATGAATGGCTTTGTACTTTATGTTTGATGTCTCTGGGAAAGTTTTAAAGCAGTCTTTCAGTGCCGCTTTCAGAGCGCTCAAGTCCGTAACGGGGAACTGACACGTAACATTGTTTTTCCCTCATAAATGCGAACACGAAAAATAAGACAAAATGAATATTTTGTTCTGTGGAGAGCCAGCCCTTCTGAAGTGGGTATTACTTTTTGTACTTTTGCCACCTAAAAGTTCAAAAAAATTTGTGTCACGCCCGTGTATTTCCCTCATATTAAATATAAAACGCATGTGTAGACTGATATTTTTCTAATGTCTGGAGTCTGGACTCCGGACTCCTTTATTAAGGAGGATAAACAGACGTTTCAATATATTGGTATTAAATGCATTTTCTGAGAATTTACATTTCAAGTTTTTTACCAAATGTCACGTCCATAACGCTGGAATTGCCCAATTTTAAAGAAATTATCCTCAACTAGTTGTGGTGTAGTGTAGGTCTACGTATTTTATAATGTTAACTTCAAACAATAGCCTAATAGTAATTTAAAGATGTGGTAGCATTGGATCTGAACGGGAAGGATAACGCTGGGAGCTGGGAGTGTGTCGCGATTCTGCCTTCTCACTCACATTTCGGTTTCATATCGCATATCAGCCATCATTTCTACTAAAGAAAATGACAAAAAATAGTAACGCACAGTAATTTGGATCAGTAATTTTAATGTGATTACTGGTTTGGAAATAGTAACGCGTTATTACTCGTTACTGAAAAAAGTTACCGGCATCACTGCTGGCGAGGGCCCCGTTCCTGTCCAGTGACGCAAGATCGGCGGCGTTTGAGGGGCCCCTAATTGGCACGGGGCCCTGGGGCGGCCGCACCCAAGCACCCACGCTATCTCCGCTACTGGTGGCACGTGTCAAATTGACGTCCACATGAATGACCAGACCCAGAGCATTACACTCCCTCCACCGGTCCTGTCATCTTCCCACAGCACAGCCGTTTACACAATGCAAAAGAAAATGGGACAGATAGAACCAGGCGACCTTCTTCCACTGCTCCAAGGTCCAGTTCCGACACTTGTGTGCCATTCCTAATGATCGTTGCGACAGAAGTGAATCAATTAAAACTAACTTTAGCTGGAAAATAACTTTATTCTAGAGCTGTCACAAAGCCATTTCCTATTATCACTGTAAAGCAGCTTTGGAACAATCTACATTGTTAAAAGCGCTATATAAATGAAGATGACTTGACCATTGAAGGCGCTTTCAATGGTGGACAGTGGTCATACAGTAGGCACTCTGATTTGTCTGTGGGTTCACAGCTCAATACGCAGCAGACTGCGATGCAACTGTTTGTTGTGACACATTCCTGACCGGGAGCAACTCACAAGCCTTGCCGTTTCAGAGATACTCTAACCAGTCGCCTTGCCATAACAATTCCTGCCCATTTCTTCTGCATCCCACACATTGATTACGAGAACTGATTGTTCTCTTAACATCTGATCTACCCAGACCTTAATATGTGGCCTTGTTAGGAGATAATCAACATTTTTCGCTTGTGTAGCTTTTCATTTCTTCAACATGTAGGAAGACACATCATGGCCATATTCCAGGTCAGGATGACAATGTCAAGATTCATCAGGCTCAAATTGTGAAAGAAAGGTTGTGAGGGAGCACGAAGAATCATTTTTACACATGAATCGGCTCCTCTGAGTCCAGATCTGAAATTCTTTGAAAGTGTTTGGGATGTGCTGGAGGAGACTTTACAGAGTGCTGGACTCTTGCATTGACAATACAAGATCTTGAGGAAAAACTGATGCACCTCTTGATGGAAATAACATCACCACATTTATTTCCATCAAGGTGTGCATAAATTTTTGGTCAAGATCTTAAAATAAACTTAATTTAATTAAAAATGAAATTAATTTAACTGAAATATGCCCATGCCAAATACTGCGATATTCACTGGCCTAGCTGATATAATCGCCCTATCACCAAGTATACACACACAGGCCTCAATCAATTGCATGCTTATACAGACACCCACAAACACACACACACACTGACCCTGCAGACAAAACACTCTGGGTGCCAGAGAGAGTTGAGGGCCGAAATGTAGTTCTCCAGGATAGCACGGGCACAGCCGCCACATTTAGGGGCAAACATGTCAAAGTAGTCCTTCCTACAGTAAGCCTTTCCCTCCTTCTCATGGAAACCTGCAGGAAATAGAGACAAACAGAAAAAGAAAAAAGTTGCCAAAGGCTTAAAACCTTTTTAAGAAAAAATAGCTTGGTAGAAAAAAAGGAAAGGCCAGCTAAAGAGAAGAAAAGAGGTTGAACTTGAGAAGAGTGGAATCAGCTTACCCTCAGGCCCAAAGAATGACCCACACTGGGCACAAAAGAAATGCTCTGGATGCCAAGTCTTGTCTAATGCGGTCACCACCCTCTGCAGGACGAAATAAAAGCAAATGTACAATTCATTACAATGAACTGATGGCGAAACAAGGACAGAGAGCACAATGTAATCAATGAATGTATGCAAAATTAAGATAAAAAAACAAAGAATAAGACAATTGCTAACAATTATTAGTAATAGTGTTCATTTCCCACTACATAAACAAACATGTGAATCACATGTTTTTTTTTGCATTGTTTAATAATTATGGTGGATACAAATATAGGTAAATATGTTTGTTATTTATGTATTCTCGGTGTGTATGGAGAAAAATAGATTAAGATGATCGGCCACCGGAGTATTATTGATAAGTAGTGAGAAGGGGTAGGATTAAATAAGCTCATGCTTCTTCCTACTCCTTTTCGGACATGTATAAGTTAATATTGTTTTCTTGATGAGTTTTGATGAGTATCTGTTGTTATTAGGTTTTTATTTTTGTCATTAAGTTTTTTTTATTTTGTTTCCTATACATGTTCGAAATAAATCAATAAATCACATACTTCTGTTTTAGCAATATAAACTACTCCAATCCTAACTACATGCTAAACTAAACATTAATTTTGCAATATAGATCTATGGAAAACAAAATTCCATTATGGAGAATATTGTGCCAATGTGTATATTTATCTATATGTTATCATATAAACATACAGTCATAAGTGAGTCAAATGTTAATTCAGTAATTCATGACTGATTCAAACAAATATCATTTTCAACCGACTCAATAAAAAAAACCTTCTCATAAGATTCATTAGTCAATCAGACTACACTGGTTGCACTATGTTTTTGCATGCAGCCAACAAATACATAGAATTCTAAATGAAATAAAATGAAAATTTGTGTATTTATTGCCTTCGTATTATGCTATGGTAAACAATTTTGTATCTTGTTTTAAGGATGCCTAGTCATTTTATTCAAAAAGACTATCTATATGCATGTGTTGAGTTTGACTGGAGAGACCGATTTAGACTGCATTTAAGTGACTGTTTATGTTTACAGGAAACCTGAAGCCAAAGGTAAAGTGTGAGCAGCTATAGTAAGCACCATCACGACTGGGTGGTGACACATGAGACACACACGGGCCTGTGAATGCCCCGTCTGTGGTGATAGGAAGCAGAATCCTCCTTACGTCCAGAATGGGTCCATTGCAGTAGTAACAGCGTGGAGAGAAGAGGCTGTGGTAGTCCTTTTCACAGTACGGCTGGCCGTCTCGCTCAAAGAAGTTTTTGGAACCTATTTCCTCCTGACAGTGAGTACACACGAAATGTTCTGGATGCCACGTCCGACCCATTGCTGTCACCACCTGAATGAATCAAAGAAAACGAGGATGGAAGTGTTCTGCTTTACTTTTGTAGTAAACAGCAAAAGACATAACTGAATACCAGTGACTCATGATGCTATACAAGCTACAAAATTTGGGAATCATTACGATTTTTTAAATGTTCTTAAAAGTCTGCATTTATTTGATTAAAAATACAGTGAAAACATAGTCTGGTTGACACCAGTGAGAGTGGGTCTGGGAAAGGTTCATTCACAGCCCATTTCCAAAGGGGCGTCACCAACGGACGTCGCTCAAATGCCTCTGGGAGCAATTGGATAGACCTAAAAACCAATCAGAGCTATCGTCATCGTGTAAACCCCGCCTCAACGTTTGTGATTGGTGCCTCGATTTGGAAAAATTGGAAATGAGCTTGGCCAGACTGACTTGCAGAGCAAATCTCAAATTTGCCGGAAGTTCGTCTGGGTTTTCCCAGGCGCGTGAAAACAGTAATATTTGTAAGAATATTTCACGCATTTTTGATAATAAATGTAGCCTTAAGGCCTGTTCACACCGGGATGAATTTCGCGTGCGTTATTCGCCGACGTTTAACGCCTCGTGACTAAACAAAGGGTGCCAATGTGAGTGTGCACACCGACGCGAAAAACGCCACGCGTTAAAGCGTAATTTTTTTTAAAACCGGCTCGGGTTCGTTTTTTTGGTTTGACCCGCCGTGTCAAAAACTATCCGACCAATGAGATTGGCGCTTTTGCTCACGTGTCAGGAGCATCTGAAGTTACAGTAAAACACAACTTGGGGGCGCTCAAACACAAAACGGTCTTGCCGAGCACACATACGTAACGGCGAAGAAGATGCGCCAAGCAGCGTCTACACTGCCGGGAAGAAATAAGACGAGGAAGATGCGAGGCAAGATGAATGTAGAGCTGCTGGTCTCGGTGTCGGAACATAAAGAACTATATGACAAACGCGACAGCGACTACAAAATAGGACTATTTCTGTTTTACATTAAGCGCCATCTAATGTCAGAGAATGAATTTGCACGTTCACTCGGCTCATCGTCAGCGAAAATCGCTTGGGTGTGAACACAAAAAACGCGTTGAAAAAAAGCTGGCGAATAACGCGCGCCGATATTCGTCCAGTTGTGTACGGTCCTTCAGTGAGCATAAGAGAAAAACGTTTTAAAAAATCTGAAATCTCCAAGCTTTATATACACACACACACACACACACACACACATTTGTTTGTTTTGAAACAGAGCTTCTGCACTAGAGCATAATATCCAAAAAAATCCAAATGGATGATATGTCGGGATAATTGATTTGGGCAGTAAATGAGCTCTTCCCCAGATCTCTTACCTGGCCAGCGATTGGTTTCTTGCAGGCTCCACAAACGCCTTTGGCTACAGTCTGGACACCCAGGCGGTTGAGGTCTGACTGCAGGCTGCCCAACATGTTATCCAGTTTATTCCCCTGCTTCGGGACGCTGGTGGGGGAACTCTTGCCCTGAGCCATAATCTACAGCAAAAGGAAAATAATTTTTTCATAAAGCAAAGAAAATGTGGATGCAAATCCCACTCTGCAGACGCAGACACAAAACAAGGAGCTTTGTTTATGTTAGACACTTTCTACACAACTAATTACTACCAATTAATCATTTAGCAAATGCATTTATCCAAAGCGACTTTCAATACACTTTTTTTACCAGGTCAATCTCCCTGGAGTAACAGGAGATTTAGTGCCTGGATCAATGGCACAATGTTGATAATTCATGGCTAAACACATGCAGGATTTGAAGCACACCATCCACTGACACTTGACTTGTTTTGGAGAACTCAACACTGAGAAGTGCAATATAAATGTCCCCTTATATGGAGTGTAGTTGTTCAGATATGTTTGTGTGCTCAACAACTGATGATCAACTTTGTACCACGAGTATGCTCAAGTCTCCCTTGGCTGAAAATGTTCTCAATATAACCATCGCCACTTGGAAAAAGGTATTTTCAAACTCCTAACGCATGTACATCAAGAGCTTCTTCCTTCAAACAAACAGGACTGGAGATGTTGAATTACACACATTTACTTGCATCATTTATTAGTCAATCCATTACAGGATGTTAGTGGTTTTTAAACTACACAATTCACAACACTTAAAGTAGTTCTCAGCTTCCCTGAAACACTCCAGCACTGCATGCAATGGAAATGTTTACGGCTTTCGTCTTATTTCACAGACTTGAAAGTACACAGCAATCAACAGCCAGCAGAGATGCATGATCCTGCACAAACATGCAATAGTTATTATATTTAAACACCAAATCTGGTTAGATATTATGCAACATTTGCAATTTTATATTTAAATGTATTTCACATAAATGGAAAGGTTGTGAATCGTGTCTGTTTTACTAATCTAAGGAAATCAATCTCATGCTCCCTGCGTAACCTTCCCTAAATACAACAGGACCAAGAAGGTGTTAAATACATAATCAGATGACAGACCAAACAAGGCTATGGGTCAAGAAGTTCTGGTGTAACAGTAACCCCATCTCTGTGCTCTCAGTTCAAAGAACCGTGACACAGAAGCATTATTCACAAAGCAAAATTAGCAACCTATTAATCCTGTTATTTCTGCTTATGATCTCACACTTAAACAAGCTACTCCTGAAGTACTCCAGCGCAGCCCTGGAGTCAAAAAGATTTTCGGAGTCAAAAATCAACCAAAAAACAGGAAGTGGAAATGAGGCAGTGAGTCAAGTTATATTATTTAGTAAATGGATTTCCACTCTTAATCATATATTAGACAGTGGTGGAGGAAGTACTGAATCTCAGTACTTAAGTAAAAGTACAAATAACCAGAGACATATTTACTTTAGTAAAAGTAGAAGTACCACAATGACAACCCTACTTAAGTAAAAAGTACCTGATTTTAAATGTACTTTAAGTATTAAAAGTAAAAGTACTTGCATAACAATTTATTCTCTTAATGTCTATATTCTAATGATTAATAAAACAGTTAATTCTAACTCATTCAACCTAATACTCATATAATGATGTTCAATATGATGGAAAAGCAGTTATATTTTAAGTTTGTCACCATTTCTGAACAAGCTTGCAATTAGGCAATATACACATCAAGCTTACTATATAGCCTACCCTTACTATATACGGTATATATATATATATATATATATATATATATATATATATATATATATATATAAACTAGGGCTGTCAAATGATAAATCACGATTAATCACATCCAAAATAAAAGTTTGTGTTTACATAATATATGTGGGTGCACTGTGTATAATTATTTTGTATATATATTTAAATACACATACATGCATGTATATTTAAGAAAAAATATATTATTTATATATAAAATATTTATATTTATATATAATATAAATTATATATACATCTATATACAGTATATACATGAAAATATTTCTTAAATATATACAAGCATGTGTGTGTATTTATATATATAAAATAATTATACACAGTGCACCCACATATATTATGTAAACAAAAACTTTTATTTTGGATGTGATTAATCACGATTAATCATTTGACAGCCCTAATATAAACACATATGTTAAAACGCCGTATATGACGGCGTTTGGCTGTAAACGCGATTCATTTATGGCGTAATTCTGAACCTCTTGGCTTGCCATACTAACCCTAACCAAACGTATAATACACACGCACCCCACATCACTACTAAACCTACCTTTCTTTTACTGTCTATGAAACCTACCAATGCGTTTCCTATGCATGTAAAATTAATTTTCGCGTATAAATTGCACGATAAACACACTGCGTGCTATAGAGACGCATTTAGTGTGACCGGGTTGATATATCTATGGCAACCAAACTTCATTGGTGAGACAGAAACGTGTGACGAACGGACGGTCAGGATGACGTTTTGGCAGGGGAAAAACTGATCAGAAAATGTAACGAAAATGTAACAGAACGTTGTAGAAATGTAGTGGAGTAGAAAGTATTAAAGTATAAGTAAATTGCTGCAAAATGTAACGAAGTAAAAGTAAAAAGTATGCACTATTGATTCTACTTAAGTAAAGTACAGATACGTGAAAAAATTACTTAAGTAAAGTAACGAAGTATTTGTACTTCGTTACATTCCACCACTGATATTAGATAAACACAATAAATGTAACCATTTAACCATTTAGTTATAGAATTTTTGCAAGGGTGCCGCAATCTTGTAGCCTAGAAATCTAGACGCACCCTAGCGGCAGCAAAAATTATTTTGCAGCAAAGTGTGGTCTAGCAACTCTCCGTTGGCTTTTCGAGCTGGAAAAAAACAAACTCTGGTCAGGCCAATCACATCGTGTATAGAGTTGGTGGGCGGGCTTAACAATGACGGCAGAGATGTGACGGTTCCGCGTGATTTCCACAGGTGATTTCCCTGCTAACTTGAAAACACTGGCGAACAGCGGTCTTTCGAATCGGATTTGGCCGCGACTCTGGAGGACTTGGAGTTAAGAGAACGTAACTTAAGTCATTCTTAAAAAAAGGAAAACGTGTTCGGAGTTGACGATCGGATACGGCAAAAGTTAAATAAATCAACTAGCTCCGCTGGTGGAAAAACGCATGGGACTCACTCACATCGTTGCTCTGGTTGGTTGTAGCGCTGTCCTATTGCGTGCCGAGGGATATTGAAAGACAACCGTTTATCCCGCCCCTCGGATTGAGGTATGCCAATTGTGAGTTCCCAGACCTAACATCTTGATGTAGGTCTGGCTTGCCAGGCTAGCAATCTTGTAGTACTACAACCTGTGACGTCAAGGGGTTGGTTGTCTTCCCAGAGTTCAACAGATGCAACGGTAGAGAGACAGTTAAAGACAGACAGTGGAGGACAGAGACAGTGAAAGATGGAAACTGGAAAGCCACAGGGCATCAGAAGACAAAATGGAGACCACTAATGCATTGCTCCTGGATGTAAAACATATTTTTTTGTGTTAAAGCAAAGGACACGTGCAACTGCCGCTGAAACGGAGAAGAGTTCTGCTTCACTTCCAGATACACATCCAGAAACAAAGTCCCACCGCCTCAAGATTTCCATAGTTATACTTAGATATTAAATAAGTTGACTGTCAGAAATTAAAATGAACCACAACCATAATAAACACCCGTTGGCGTTTGTCCTTCCACTACATGCAGAGATCAAAGCAAACCACAAAATAAATATTTCTTTACAAAGCAGGACTCCAAATGTTGGATAATCTCCAAACATCAGCCATAATCCCGTCGTCTTCCTTGCCATCATCTTTTTTTAAATTCTTTTGCATTCTGTGTCAAAGATTTTAACCAACTTTTCCTTCACTGCTGGATTCCTGAATTATTTTTGTTCGCCAATTTTTTTCCAGCCTATATTGGCCGTTTACTTGGTGACAGACATTATGAGTTTATCTATTACTAGTAATGATTACAGCAAATAGGCAGAAAAATCAAAGACTAAAATCAAAACTATAATAATCGTCGTTAATCCAATGCAGCCAACCAACTCAGTGAAGTTACAGGTTGTAGTACTGCAAGATGGCGGCGCCCTTGATACAAAAGTTATAATAAAAAATAGCCATGTTATATAATTTTTTTATTAGAGTGGAAATCCATTTACTAAATAATGTTAACTTGACCGACTGCTTCATTTTCAACTGTAATTGATAACCAACTTCGTTGGCAACAGAATTTCCTCACGTACCAGGAATCCAGAGACAAGAAAAGGGAAAACAGACTGTCTTCATGGGACATGTTGGCACCAGCAAACTATTTAATAAATGCTGAGACACTCCTAGTGTGAGCGCTGTTTGGAGGTCAATCACATAACAGCATATGCTCAATAAGCTACATCCTAGAAACCATGAAAGAATGGATAGATAAGTCACAGGGTCCCCCAACACTATCTGACCAAATCATTTTTCTAAATGTTTTTCATGAGCTTTCCAGTAGTTTGTGATTACTGGGTAGGAATCATTCACATTTACATTCATATTCAAATTCTAAATGATTCACTAAAGATTCATTCAGACTGATTTGTTCAACAGATTAACCTGAAAAGAATCCACTCATTCATTTAGGTCTCTCCCAAGGTGTTCTCCACTACGGTCACCCGGTGGAGTTTGCTTGCTCAGTTGGGGTTTAAAAACAGTTAATATTCAGTAATATTATCGATTTAACTACACCGACACTAAGATGAGAACGAAATTGCAACTGAACAAGCACTAACTTTGCAACATCGACACTGTTAATAAACTGAACTGACTTGATCGAAATAATGACACGATTGTCTTTTTAGAGCTCCTTTACACCTGAAATTGAATTCATTTAATAATTTATGACTTCTGCATCATTAACATTTTGCTGTTAATTAATCTGAAGATGCTTTGACACAATCTGTATTGTATAGCTCGAATGTGCGTTGTGTTCGGTCTTCCGGTTTGTATTTCCACAGCATGAAGGTAAGATCTTACAGATTTATGAATGGTCCGCTCGTTTTAAAATCTTCCCGGTCTACTGACGTTTATTATGACATCCGCTTCAAACATTACAATGCTCATGATAACTTCCCTTAACTCAACAATAAGTAAATCCACCTCACCAGCTATTCTTCGGCAGCGATGCTATAGAAATATACAGAGCTACCGCAAAAACTGCAGTTCAAACACAAAATACTAAAGATGGCTGTGCGGTTGTCTATAAAGTGCTGTACAAATAAATGTGACTTGACTTAAATGATTCACAATGGCTTGTGAACCAGTTTTACTCAACACCAACCCCATATACAACCAGTTTCATATGACTTCTTATTAATTTCCATGACTTTTCATGACAAATTCCCTGATATTTCCATTCTTTTCATGACCGTGCGAACCCTTATGACAAAAATGCAAGCTCGGATCAGATGCAGATAAACGAAGAGAGCAAGTTCATGCCTGTACCGGTGGAAAAAGAGGTTCATATTCCGTTTGGCAGCCCACAGATGATAACACCTTTGGTGGAGGGGGTGGGGTCGCAGGTTTGGGTGGAGGGGATGGAGGAGGGGTGGGCTCTTTAGGTGGAGGCAGGGTCGGAACTGGAGGAGGGGGAGGAGGAGGAGGAGGAGGAAGAGGAGGAGGAGAGGGCTCTCTAGGAGGTGGAGGTGGTGGGGGGAGAGGAGCGGGCATCTGTACCACAGCCACTGGCTTTTTTGGGACAGGATGGGTTAGGATTTTTTTCGGAGGACATGGCAAGTCTGGAGGAATGATGATCTGATGGACAAAGAAATGTGAAACACAACACAAAACGCAAAAATGCATTATATTGTGTAACAGTCGGGTTCCAGAAGTAAAAATCACATTCATTTTCTCCATAGGAAGATTGTTTTTTTTTTTTACAATCACTTAAAGCTCACAACAGGTCTGTCTTTACAGTTGTAAACTTAACCGTTGTTAAACAAATGGTAAATGCTTTAGCTGAAGCCATCAGTTTGTATTTTTTTTAACGATCAGTTTAAAGAATCATGTTTAACAGCAGAATTCATGGTGAAAAACATGATGCTGTACAGAAAAAAAATCAACCAATCAGAGAATAGCGGCGAGTAAGTCGTCTCAAAAGAGCTCAGCAGGGAACACTACAAATACTTAAATGTTTGTGTTTATATATATATATACACACTGTATATATATATATATATATATTGCAATAAACTTAAAATATATTGTTTCTATATATATATATATATATATATAAATAAAATCAATTTTAAATGAATCATAATATTTCTCCATAGTTTTTCATCCGATTGTCATTCATAAGGGTTCATGGGATTGAAGTTCTTTCCCTCAGTAAAGCCATCAAGTAGTCTTGACCCTGATTTTAAAATACTTTTTTTGCTTTAAATAAAAGTTTGTAATGTTGTGAGTCACCTGTTTGGTTTGGTTCAAGGATTTAACAGACTTTTTAAAAGTCCATGTGGGAAAAATTAATGGAAAAAATTCTTCCAGAACTAACGCCATGGAAAAAGTGGACACGCACTGTTGCACTCTATTTGAAAATGTTTTATAAAAGGTTAAAAAGCCAGTTTTATATAACAAACAAATTCGAGAAATGTTTTAGTGCAAGCTTTTGTTAGTTCCACCAGTAATCTTGAGACTTACACTACCTTATCAACCATTGGTGATACACCACCTTCCTCTCTTAACCGCTGTGGGTTGGAACAGACAATGACCCCTTCCGTAAGCCAATCATCCGGCCGTTTTCGTGGCCGCCCAGTGCGACCGATTCCCAGTTTCCCTTGCAGCTCTTCAATGAGTAGATCTTGCGAGTTACTCTTGTTGAGAATGAGCGGGCCCATTTTTTTGTGCATATGGCCGTCGCGAAACATTGGGTGAACGTTGGACGTTTCCTTTGTGCGTCTGATGACCGATTTAAGCTGCGGAGAGGCAGCATTATTGAAGTCACCACTTTAAATTTATAGATCATGCAATGCTTTCTTTGCAAACGCCATTCAAGATCTCAGATATCCAGTCCAAAGGCCTTTAAAAAGCAGGCAGCAGGATAAAAATCAGTACTGTAACCTCACACCCATCAAATTTAGGCCAATCGCAAAGCGTAGCTTGAAGCATCCTCTTCGTGACTCACAGTAAGAACAACTCTAACCTTCTACAAACAATCTGAAATGATGCAAGAGCAGGTATAAAGACTATGAAGCAAACACAACATGCCAAAGCAATGCAAAATTGTCAAAGCAATTTTCAATTGGACTAAAAGGTAAAAAATTGCTATTACTACTAAAAATCCATTCACTTCTTGCAATTAAATTTGAAATTTGTTTTAAGACTTTTTTTTTCAAATTCAGAGTGAATAAATTTAATTTGATTAACAACAAATACATGCAATATATTTGTAAAATAATTTATAGTATTATTTAAATACTTCCCTTTATAGGCAAGAAAAAGACAGACAAGCTACTTTGGAAAAAGTTTTGCTGACAGTTCAAATGCAATCGATATTCCCCAGATGTTGTACATTATTTCAACAAACTGCAATTCTTTCCATTTTAATCACTTTAAACTAGTTACTGGCAAACACAAATAATTCATGATCTAAAAGCTATATTTCATGATTGATGCATGTGAATCTGCATGATTTTAATGCATCAACGAAATGACTCAACTGTAACACCCTTAGACTTTACACATCAAATTTAGCAACTGCAAATAATTTGCCTCATGCAAGACAATCAGAATATGGGACCACAGTAAATAACCCCTTTGCAGAACATCTCCTGCAGCTTCCTAAAAAGCATCATGTGCCCTGAAGAAAGAATAAGTGAAGATGGAATGCAATTGCACAATGAAACCAATGCAAAACTGCAAAGAAACAAGCAAGCCTAGCCTTGTTGTCCTTTTAACGCCATACACCTCATTGAGGAAGCGCGTCAGGGCATGCATTTGAACATCCCAAAGACTCCTTCCACAGAATCTAATCCAATTCATGCACCACACATACTTTGGATTCCTCAATTCTCAACCTTTCCAAAAAACACGATACAAAGCAATGCAACTGAATAGAGCAGCTACAAACCAATGGCTAGCCCTTCAATTTTAGGAGCACTAAGTGACATTTGTACTTGGGTATCGGGTTTTTGAGAGGCATATTTAACTTGCTAATGGTTGGTGCTTCTATCTGAGCAGGATGGAAAGGTTCAGATTGGATATCAACAGGCCCCTTGGCATAAGGATCACACTTGTGTATTTGAGAAAGCATAAACAGCCGTACGTGGTGCAGCATGCTTCTCGATCATGCTCGCTAAATTTAGGGGTGCAAATTGGAGACAGTCTAACAGAGTTGGTGTGCCTCATACTTGTCCAGAAGCGGAGAGCCTTTCAACTGCTGATGGCTGAAGAAGTGGAAGGTCCAGAGAAACATCTGACGCTCCAGGGTATAAGGAGTCGTCCGTCCAACTGATATCAGTTAAGGGGGTTTGTGTGTCTTTATAGCCACCCTGTGGCGTCGATTGATGAAAAAGTGACAGAATGTCATCGTTAATTTCTGATGAGCCAGGATCTCCTTCAAGCGGTTTCACTGACTCTGGTTGGGAAAGACTAGACGTCAACAGCTTGTCCAGAGCTTCCTCCAGAAGAGGCTTGGGACAAGGAAGACTTATTTCCAATATGCCAGGTCCAGAGTTATCAGGTTTCTCTTTGGATGGCTTGGGAGTTAATGTTGGGGTTGAAACTGGAGGAGCAGGTAGTGCAATGAGAGTTGGCACTGGGCTCTTGCTAGTAATCCCTGGATCAGGATTTGGGCTCTTGGCAAGGACTCCAGGGAAAGGACTTTTGGTTGCTCTAACAGCTGTAATAGGGCTTGGGCTCTTTCGGACCACAACTGGACTAGAGGTTTTAGCAATTGTTACAGGACTAGAACTTTTCACGTCGACAATTCGATTTGAGCTCTTCATAACTTCTGGAGGACTGGGGCTTTTAGCCACTGGGCTAGAAATCCTTCGATTTATAACTGGTGAGGAGGCCTTTGTTACCACAGGTGGACTGTTTTTGGAAACCAAAATCGGACTTGAGGTTTTCAGGTTGAAGATCTTGGGTGAATTGACTTCACGTTTGTTTAAACTTGATGGCGGAAGGCTTGAAGTTTTTGCAGATGGTTCTGGTGATAAACGAGACTCAGGGACTGGACTCTTTGCGCTAGAAACAACCAGTAGTTTATCCGAATGGCTCTTGGACGAAGTGAAGCGCAGCGTGGAGCTGGGCACTGGAGCTTTGGTTGTTGATTCCTCAACAATGTGGAGTTCCAGCAGAAACAATGCGCCATTAGAGGAAGGAAAGCTGTGGTCAGATACCTCTGCCTCTGGGACAGAAGGGACTACGAGGCTCTCAGTTACCACAAGATTGGAAAGTTCTGACCCTTTAGTGGATAATGAGTCCTCCTTAACTGACACAGAGCCAGACTAGACAACCAACAGTAAGACGACAACAACAATCAAAGAGAAAGGGAGGAAAGCATTTGAGTAGAATCATGAAGGCATGCTGGGAATGATCCATTGTATTATTCTCAAATTAAAAATTACAGTGGCTTAATGCAATGAGTTATGCAATCTTGCAAAGTTTGGCTTATTTAGTCAATAAAAAAAGTATTCTAAGAATGCAACAAAGTACAAGTCGGATATTTGGTTTACCAACCTGAAAGCAAATATGATCACCAGAATTTCAAGATATAAACATGACACCACAACCACAGCATTCCAGATTCTCTCTTTTCAGCCGCAGTGTGGCTCACGTCCAAGACAGATATGCTAACAAGACCTTTATAATGGACCCATGAGAGCATGCCATCATTCAAGGCATGTAAACCTTTATTCATTTCAAAGGCCTTGATTGATAATAATCTACTGTTTACTATCTGATTATCATTATCAGCACTCACAGACATGCTCACAACATTAAAACACAAAGCCAATGACAACTCATTCAAACAGCTCTTGTAATGCTATAGGCCAGATTATTTGCCAATAAATAAGATTTTGCTAATTAAAAGCATATTCAAAAATAAACATTTTTAAGACTCATATTCTACTGTGTGGCAAAGCAATGGATCATAGTTTAGGAAGGTTGTTTGAAAGGAACATTTATAGAAAATGTAAAAAATAACAGTTAAATGTCATTTGTCTCTCCTGCTCCAAGACTTACATTGCTCTGAACTTTGAAGTCAGACAGTGAAGCCATAAGTTCATCGAGTTCCCGCGTAGCTGAGGAGGCTGAGATTCTGGCCTGCTGCTGGGTGGGAGTCTCTTCCTGAACTTCTCTCAACTCAGGAACCATCGGCACTGATGGGGCGGGTCTATACATTTTACAATATTAAAAATGGGATGTAAGAAAAGGTCTAGCGCACAAATAAGGCAACTGGTGAAGTCTTCATTTGTTTACAACATTCTTCTCATTTAAACATCAATGTTTACTACACTGGAGTCCAAAAGACTATAAAGAAAGTCTAAATTAAACTCAAAACAGATTTTGATAAATTAGAATTTTTTTATTTAAACAACATATTAGGAGTGGGCTTTTAATTTTGTACTAACAATAAGATCAAAGAAGCTAATTACGAAAAATAGGACGAATACAATAGACCAAAGATACAGAAATATAAGTATTTCAGCTACAGTATGTTTAATTTAACACGTAGTAAAGAATACGGCCTAAATGTAATAATCAAACACGGCATAGTCTGAGAGGTGGCTTTTTGATAAGACCAACGCTACTTTTGCGTCATCGAAGGGTAATGCCCCCTTTTGGGGGAAAACAAACGGATTCTAGAAAACATAACTCGCTCTAGATCTGCAAAGTTTCTTGATAGCAAAGATGGCACAAACTTAAAGAAGCTACTGGATACGGGGTTACAGAGGTGTCCCTTTGAAATGGTCGAAAACTGAATTAATGACCCCACGCAGTGGCCAAATATGGACTATTCAGACATCTAACGTTACCACTATCTCGTGGATACCCCAAGTAAGTAGCCTTTTTTTTTGTCATTAACACTCACAGTATGACAAACTAGACGACGAGGCCATGTCACTTGGATCATATTTAACTTGATTTAAGCTATTGACATAGTTTTGTTGTCGACTAGCTATACTAGTTAGAAAGACGAAGCTGCTAGCAGCTAACGTTATGTGATTAGCTATCACTAGGCATGCTACCTTGGCTGTTAACTGATTTTACTGTTGAAATAGTGGCAGGCTAGGACTAAAGTGGACTTGGCTGGTTTCTGCTTGTGTCTAGAAAGTGCTTTAGGCCTAACTGTTATATGACTTTTCGACGACCACTGCTCTGGGCTACATGTAACAACACGAACGGCAGTAACTAGATCAAGCCTTCTAGACTAGATAGGATAGCGTAATGTCACAACATCCAATTTGATAGCCCCATACATACATACATTGGTCCTATACATATTTTGCCGTACACTGTAAACCTTTTACAACTTTCAAAGTCCTAGCACTTTCTAGACATAAGTAGAAACCAGTCAAGTCCACTTTAGTCCTAGCCTGCCACTATTTCAACAGTATAGTATAGCTAGTCGACAACAAAACTATGTCAATAGCTTAAATCAAGTTAAATATGATCCAAGTGACATGGCCTCGTCGTCTAGTTTGTCATACTGTGAGTGTTAATAAAAAAAAAAAAAAAAAAAAAAAAAAGGCTACTTACTTGGTGTTTCCACGAGATAGTGGTAACGTTAGATGTCTGAATAGTTCATATTTGGCCACTGCGTGGGGTCATTAATCCAGTTTTCGACCATTTCAAAGGGACACCTCTGTAACCCTGTATCCAGCTCTTCTTTAAATACCGCTCACGGTCCTCGGCCGGCAAAGAGAGTGTATGTTTGTGCCATTTTTGCTATCAAGAAACTTAGATAGCAGATCTAGAGCGAGTTCTGTTCTCAGGGGAATCCGATTTGTTTTCCCCCAAAAAGGGGCGTTACCCTTCGATGACGCAAAAGTAGCGTTGGTCTATTGCGTTCAACTTTTTTTTAACATCATGTACGCTCTTTATTTTCTCATTCATGCATGTTTATTTTTCACTCTAAACTTCTAAAGTGTCAATGTCTTTAAGTAATACTGAGCTATGCGGATATATTTACTTAATGATATAGCAAAATCTCTAACAATAGACATTTTATATCATTTCCATGTTATATATCGTCATAACGCCCAGCCCTACAACATATCAACTTTTGTCGTTATTACGAAAAAAATATATATTTTTTTCTACTCACTAAAAAGATGTAAAACAAATGTAAAATATTCAAATGATAAAAATTCAAATATTAAATATTATTCTATCATATAATATATATACAGAAATTTATAAAAATTACATTAATCAAATGTTTTCAGCAGTGTGTAAGCTTACGCAGGGGCCGGCACTGAGCTCTCCAAATCGTTTAACAGGCTCTCCACACTGGGCCTGACGTCTTCTATCCCCCGACCGGGTGCACTGCGTTTGGGTTTCTCTAACTTTGGAGGAGGCGCTTTCACTACTGATGAAACACCGTTTTCTGGGACATAGCGCTGGGCGTTGCTGGCTGGTTTAGGTGGGTAGGTCTCTGTGAAATATAAAATATTAAAAAAATCCACATTTGTGCATGTTTTAACAACATGTAGTAATAATTCGTTACATTTATATAGTGCTTTTCTCAACACTCAAAGCGCTTCACATATGGAAGGGGGGATCTCCTCAACCACCACCAATGATGCAACGGCAGCCATATTGCGCCAGAACGCTCACCACACACCAGCTTACTTGTGGAGAGGAGACAATGATGAAGCCAATCAGTATATAAGGATGATTAGGAGGCCATAATGGACAGAGGCCAAAGGGCAAATTTGGTCAGGATGCCGGGGTTACACCCTTACTGTTTAATCCAAGGACATCCTAGGATTTTTAATGACCACAGAGAGTCAGGAACTCGGTTTAACGACTCATCCGAAGGTAGTGCTTGTTTTGAAGCGCTCACCTTCAGTAGCGAAGGAGGGTGTGCTGTGCTGTACGGCGTTGAGCTCCAGCAGCAGACGGTCCAGCTCCGACAGGTTACTGCCCAGTGATGAGCTCATGACGGCAGTGGGGGAGTCAGTAGTCTTCTGCTTGTTGGGGAAACTATAGACGTGCTCTTCGTCAGACTGAGACACGCGAGGACTGGCGTTTTTCGGAGCCGACTTGAGGAAAGAAAATATAGTCGTTTAACATTTAAGCAATTATACTTCACAGATGGGAGCAGAAATAGCAAAAATATAATAAAAAATAAAACAACTGTGATACATCTGGGGTTTTGGACCCGCTTAATGGTTTAAAAAACAATTAATAATCAGTAATATTATGGTTTTACTGCACTGACACTATGAGATGAGAACAAGAATTTTGAACTGGATAATGACACTAACTTTGCAACATCGACACTGTTTTGAATCAACACTGAACTGACTTGAGCTGAATAATAACACTATAGTCTTTCTTAAAGCTGCTTTACAGCTGAAATTGTTTCATAATTGATAAATCTTACACCATTAACACTTGAAGCTGCTTTGTATAAAGCGCTATAGAAATATATTTAACCTGACCTGAGCTAATGCTGTCTCTCAAACATTTTTTTGTCCTTTTTTGAGCTTTGTTTAACGAGAGTTGCATGAAGATTTCACCGTTTGTGTTCCAGAGCAAAAACAACAGCAGACAAGTTTATGAGGGGGGGAACTATACCTTTAATTATTCCTGCTTTTTGATTTGGACTCTATATTCGACCCCAAAGGGCGAAAACATGCATTTAAACATCCAAATGTAGTCTGTGTGACATAAAAAAAAAAGTATGTCCAGAACATTTACTGAAACTAAGCTACAAATACAACTGTGAGCTCATTAACATATGAACACCATATCAACTAGTGATGCAACAGAAATTTTGCAATCGAAAATGTTCAGCTGAAACAGCAATTTTTGGTTTCGGTCTAAATGGTTTTGGGGCGGAAATAATTGACCAAAACAGTGACATTTATTTACAGATTATCCGAGCAATAAGCTTTGTGCTTTGTTACCTTTAACATGAAGTCTCAGCTTTTAAATTCTGTCAATTTGATGACGTAATTCAAACAAAAAACGTGGTTTGACGCACTTGAATAAAACTGCTTGTAAACAACATGCCACGACGCCACTGGATAGAAACATAGACATAACTCTAGAGATGAGAATTTTGTTAAATATATGCAATTTATATCATTTATTATATATTTACTTATCCTGCCGTCTTCATTGTTTAATGTGTGTTTGAATAAATATGTCATGAAAATAAGTTATTATTACAGCCACTGTTTAAATGTTTATATTTCAACAACAAATTGGAGTAGAAACAGAATTTGGTCATTAAAAACTGGCTTTATGTACAATTTAAATATGTGTAAAACAGTTTTTATTTTAGTTGATTATTAAATAAATCTGATAAATTATTTGATTATTTCAGAAACTATTTTATATTTCAGTTTTTGGCTAAATTAAATTCATGCATTTTGGAAAAATAATTATTTTGATGCATTATTAGTAATATCAATGCATATTCATTATTCAGTCCCTCCAGAAAAACGTGATTATGCGATCGCATGATTCAGTGCATAATCAGCCAAAGTCCGCATATTTATGCAGGGGCCGCATTTTCGCCACATAAATTACCGATTTCCGTGCAAAATATGCGGGGCTTACATGATTTCATAATCCTCACATCTTCGTTGCAAAAAAGTCACATATATCTTAGCAGAAAGTTGAAAAATGTTGCGTTTGCTTCACACAAGAGCAGCCGTTTCCCCCTGTTGCCATGGGAACGTTATGAAGTGACGTAATTACGCGACGTGAACATCATCGAAAAGCTGTAAAACAGGAGCACACTTTATTTTTTTATATTTTATTTATTAAAGAGCATATTGTAGGTAAAAAGAAAAATCTAAATTAATATATAACCTTGTATGAAAATACCATATGAAAAGGTAATGCAGGATTTAAAATGTTTTAAAACGACATAAGGGCACTAATTTAGTAGATAAAGTGAGCGTTTCTTGGACTGCTCGTAAAAACGGCTTTTTTTTCAACATCGCGTCATTTTACGTCACGCTAGGGAGCCTCAGCCTCGGCTCAGTGCAGAGCAGGCTGGCATTCAGTGAGAGCGGCCGTGAGTCAGTGTGTTTTCGGTAGTTTTTGTATTTCAATCTATCATCGTCATGGTAAATTATTGTGTTTGTGGAGGTTGCAAAAACTCCGGCCTGTCAGGACATCGAGTCCACAGGTTTCCCACACAAGAAAAACGGTGCTGCTGTATATCTGTCGTGCCTGGTGCGGTTTGTGCAGGTGAAGAGACGGGATTTCTCTTCCGCATCGGCTTCGAGAAACGCGGTCGTGTGTAGCTTTCACTTCAGATCGGAGGATTATCATCCCGGCGATATGATGGAGTTTAACATGGGATGCCGAAGCAAGAATATTGATCGTCGTATACTGTACCAATGGCATCAAATAGTGTGATATAGGGAGTCATGCCCTAAATAGAGGCAACTTGTAATTGAAAAACAAAATTACTAGGTTGATTAAATATTCAAATCTTTAATTTTCTGTTTATGTTATAACCCAGATGAAAAATATGTTTTAAAAATGTACTTGAGTATGTTTTTAGTAACTTACAATAGAAATATACTCAAGTATAGTTTTTATACATTTAATAGTATACATCTACCCTAAACATACTAATGTCTGCTGGCCTGATATACGATGGTAATAATCTGTACAATATTGTGAGCACAGTGTATATCGTTAGCGAACGTGTATCTATAAGCATGTCTCTCACCAAGACACCTGTCCTGTTCTCCACTGGTTCTCCTCACACCACAACTCAATGTGTCTCTGACCGTTCTGTCTAACATTAATCCTGGCCTGTCCCTGCTCTCTTGGCAGCATAGCAGGCTCATAATTGTATGGCTGTAGTCCATAATTGTAAGTAAGTATTTCCTCAGCGTCCGAAATGTCATTGCGATCCATTGTTTTCCTGTTGTTTGAATCGACCGCTCTCCCGCCCGTTACGTCACGCCCGCCACGCCCATTTTCAGACGCGGAAGTAAAATTTTCTCACAAAAACGACTCCAGAAGCTTATGTAGCGTATTTATAAGAATATTTTAAAGAAAATCTAGTTCCTACATTATTTTTCTATACATTGACTCGTTGGGTCCTCTAACCTGCAATATGCCCTTTAATTTTTACAGAAGTTGTAGCATATTCCTTTTGTAAAGCGGCAGAACTTGTTTGACTCATCAATGTTTTGTAAGTTTGATGTTTTTATTAGGTCTGAAATAAAACAAGAAGAGAACTTAAATATTCCCAGCACTTTCTGTGATGTAATATGCTTGCTTATCATAGGACGTAATAAGAAAGGACTCTTTACAGTAAGGTAGGAGCCTAGTGAGAACAGGGTGTTGGGGAATCACTTTTTTTTGTTTTTTTTTCATCAAACCGCAGTTTTTGCAAGTTCCCGCAATTTCATCGCATAAAATTTGCATAAATATCCCGCATATTCCATCGCACTTTTTAAGAAAACGGGCCGCAATCCCCAAAAAAAAACTCTGGAAGGACTGATTATTGTATTAAAGTTACAGCAGCATAAACAGTCTGATTAATTTTTAGGACCATTGAGAGGGTGTAAAATGGTCATTAAAAAAAAGACTAAACTTCTACTGTTTTAGTCCAAGTAAGCTTGACTAAAATTATACAAATATGCAGAAACCATGAATATGTTGAACTGGCTTAATGGCACAAGTTTCTGGAGCAACTGAAGTGCTTTGCTAAAGGGCACAACAGGAAGTGGAACAGGACAGCATCTGGTATTTGTTGTAAGGTTAAAGGATAACCGAGTAGACTCATATAAAGACCAGCAAAAAGCCTGTGGAATAAAGAAACCCTCCAGGAAGTAATGGTCATTTTACCTGGGTCGAAGAGTGCTTTGATTCTGGCTGTTCTACCCAAGATCCATTCAGTGTTTCAGCAGGAGGGGAAGTTACTCGAGGCGGGGAGGACACGTCCTGATAAGAGTCACTTCCTGTGGGGCAGGAATATGGCGTCTCTTCTGGCAGAAAAACAGCTTGCTTGGAAATGTGGGAGGTTGTGGACTCCAAATCCGCAAGAAGAGCATCTGTAAAAAAAAACACACAAAAAAACAGATTGGTTTCATTCTCAGGGAACGTGTACTGATAAAACTTTGGATAAAAGTGTCGGTACAAATCCATAACCTCAAGTATTCAGATGTTTACTTCAGATTCAAATTCCCTGGAGTGTTCTGCGCATGAAGAACATAAATCTATTAGAAATCAAACGAGTTGTTGTTGAATAACCCGGTTTCAACAGGACTTTGTCAAGTCTGTTCAAAACACGTCTCTCTCTATGAATCACATGACTCATATGGGGTGTGGTGAGTGACAACCTCACATGTAAAGACTGCTCTAAAACTGCATGCCTACAGGGATAGATTCTGCAGGAAGTAAAGTGCAAAATGCATGTGCATAAACGGACACACCTCTTAATGCACACATAAATCAATATTCAAAAGCCATACGCTCAGGAACAGAACAGAAAGCACTTTCACACACACACACAACTAAGTAAGGTTGTAAAACATGCTCTTAAGTGAACACTTTTCGGACCATCTCTGGTTTAAAACTTCTTTATATAGCAATTACTTTAGTGATAAGGCACCTTTGGATCTCGGTTGCATCACCATCCTTTCTACCAGTCAGTCGTGTCAACACAGGAAGTGACTGATGATGTCACATTGCAGCATGACAGATGACACCTCAAGGTTCTCAATACTTAAAGCAGCATATCATCTTAATTTGTTTGTCAGACTGAACCAGTGATCGGAGCTGTAAGCCCAACGGTAAACTATGAGAAATGTGTTGTTAAAACATTTCTAAATAATGGAAATCTATTAGTATAAAAATGGATTTTGCATGGGTTTTTGTAGAATAGCAAATTAATTTTAAAGATAACATGCTAATATGTTTAGAATAAAAAATGTTTTATATATAAAAATATTTATATATATATATTATATTTAAATTAGTAAGCCAGAAACATGGTCAGAGGATATTTAAATTCAAAACATGTAAAGTTTAGAGCATATAAATTCATAAATATATTACATATAAAATTCAGAACAAACTAATTAATAAATATATAACTCATAAAATTGAGCAAATTAACTCATGAATATATAACTCATAAAATTCAGCACAAATTAATTTATAAACATAACATAAAATTCTGAGCAAATTAATTCATCAATATTTATCGCATAAAATCCAGAGTAAATTCATTCATAAATATATAATATAATATCCAGAGCATATTAATTAAAAAATATATAAAGCATAATTCAGAGCAAATTAATTTGTAAACATATAATTAATCAAATTCAGAAGAAAATTAATTATTGAATATATAACACAAAATTCAGAGCATCATAATTTAAAAAATCAAAGGAAATTAATAAATAAATATATAACACATATTATTCAGAGCAAATTAATTCAAACATTTAATCAAATTCTGAGGAAATTAATTAATTAAGCAATGAATACATACATAAATCTAAATGATAAATAAGATAATTTTATTTCAGACAAATGGGAAAAATGAATATAGCTAGAGTAGCCATGCACCATATAAATAATATAAAAGTCAAATGAAGGTTCATTTGTTGTCAGTGTTTGTGATTTGATTTGATTGTAAGTGGAGTGATATAGTTTTGACGCTTCTCTACAAGCCGTCCGGTGTAGATGCCTAGATGTAAGGCATTGAGTTTATCTCGTACCATATAGGTTATAATATTCAATCTATAACTCACACAAGACACACGAGTGCAACAAAACTGAAGCTGAAGATCATTTTTTTTCAGTTCACAAACAAACAACACATTGTTAATCACACAATATCAACCACCAATAACACACCACAGCCGATTCCAAAAATCCCCATTACAGCCACAAACACATAAAAAGCCACAATCCCAGAAAGACACTTTCCCAAGAAACAACCAACTAAAGGCAAATAACAGCCGGTTACTTACACTGTGAACGGGACAGACAGTAACGCCCTGCTGATCTGTGTGTCTTTACCTTCGCACTTTATCTCAGACAGGAGGAGCTACGACAAGGAGTGGGGGGAAAAAAGATAGGATAAGAAATGGAAAAGAGAGATCTAGAGAGAGAAGAAAATCGAACTATTGTAAACTCTGCTGTGTTCAGTAGCAGTGACTGTGGAGTCGTCCGAGAGGAGGGCGGGCTGTTTTTCGGCAGGTGCTAACTTTAACTACCCCTCCAAATACCAGTTACTAAAAAGGTTGCAGTATATAACCTGTCTGCAACTGTATACACTAATCTGGACAAGTGCTGCCATTAGACAAACAGATGAACTCCATATTCAGTCAATAATACTTTAAAAACATAATTATGTAATTTACTAAATAAATGTGAAGATTACTAGAGAAAGGAAAGCCAGCAGGAAGACTTTGAGACTGGTCTCTGATCGTATCTGGACTGTTTGTTCAGCACTCGGCCTGATGAGGGAGTGGCAAAGGAAACATTAACCCATATTCTCTCTCTCTCTCTGCTGTTTCTTTATCACATAGGCTACATTATATTAAATAGAAATCACTCTCCCACATGTTGAAATTAAGCATCTCTTTGGCCTAATTTAAAAAAATATGACAAAAAAAAAGCTGTATCACACTCTTTTTAACCCAAAAATGCTAGGAATAAAACACTGTATAGCTTGCACAAAAAATAGCAATTACTATTCATTGAAACAAACTGAGTAAATATAGCAATTGAACTATGCAAATTTTCCAGTTGCATGGCTGAAAATCACAATTTATCCCTTATTCCTGACGAGCCGACTGCGTTTTCGAATTATGGGTGACACTTCCGGTTTGGGTAAACTCCATTCAAAAAGACTGAAACTAATAATTTCTAAATATAAACTTGCACTACAATGAATCATTATTCATCAGTTTGACTGAATGAGCTGTAAATGTTCCTTCATGCTCTATTTTCAGGCGTCACGTACGTAATAACGTGACGCTTGGTATTTTAATGTGACACGGTATCAAAAGAATATCTGCGAAGACCTCTTTTCCGACTGATTATTTTCTTTTTTACCCTCTGGTATTCCTCTGTAACGGTATGAAAATAAGACAACATAATATACTGTGCAATTATGGTCTGTTCTCCCGATTTACGATGTGTCCCATTAATAATTCACTGGAATGCAGGAAGAATCTAAAATATTTCTCCCCAAATACTCTCTTTCCAAGTTAGTTATTCACACAGAAGCTTTAACATGTAGCCTACTTGTTTCATCTTTTCACTTTTAATCCCCATTAACAGAGTTTACTGGAATGTTTGTAAAACAGGTAAATAAAAAAAAAAATTGTCAAAATGACGGAAAGCACTAGGACTGGACCCGAATATCCGAATATTCGTTCTGTGGGTTGGTATTTGAATATTCGTGTTTTTTTTGCACACCTGGCATCCCCCTCGAAACGGTTCTCATTCGCGCTTGAATATGGTTTACACTATGAAATCTGGTGAAAAATAATACTTAAAGGATTAGTTCACTTTTAAAAAAACTTTTGCTGATAATTTACTCACCCCCATGTCATCCAAGATGTCCATGTCGAAAAGAAATTAAGGTTTTTGATAAAAACGTTCCAGGATTTTTCTCCATAATGCACTTTGCTGGGCACCAAACGGTTCAAGGTCCAAAAGACAGTTTCAGTGCAAACTGTTCAAATGGCTTTTCAAAAATAAATAACAAAGTTTAAGTTTAATAATGTCAAACGCTCGCCTTGCTCTGTTCTGTGATGCACGTTCGTGACTCTCCTGTTCGAACTCGTTCATCAAAATGAACAAATCTTTTTTTCGAGTCATTTGGTTTATTTAACGAACGAAATGAACGAATTGACTCGGAAAAAGATTAGTTCATTTTGATGAACGAGTTCGAACAGGAGAGTCACACAGAACAGAGCAAGGCGAGCATTTGAGCTTATAAAACTTAAACTTTGTTATTTCTTTTTTAAATGACCGATCGTTTCGCTTGATAAGACCCTTATTCATCGTCTGGAATCGTTTAAAGCCCTTTGAACAGTTTGCAGTTTGCACTGAAACTGTCTTTTGGACCTTGAACCGTTTGGTGCCCAGCAAAGTGCATTATATGGAGAAAAATCCTGGAACGTTTTCATCAAAAACCTTAATTTCTTTTCGACATGGACATCTTGGATGACATGGGGGTGAGTAAATTATCAGCAAAGGTTTTTTTAAAAGTGAACTAATCCTTTAACATATAACTTCGTTATAGCTACTTAATAAATATATTTGCTTCTTCTTGGACTACTAAACGTGTTCCTGCAACGGGAGTATTCTCTGGCTAGAGTGCAGAACAGCGGAGTGTGTATGGACAGAAGTGCATGCCTGAGCTTGTATTTTTGGGTTAAGCTGCGTTGCTTTGACATTGTGGAAAATAGAATAATAGAAACAAAATGTATTATCCTTTTTACCCGTTATTATCAATCTAAATTAATCTAGTGTGAAATATAGGAGACTTTGAGATTTTACTGAGATGTCATGTCACAATTTCGTTTTTCTTTATTTAAATTTCGTTTTTCTTTATTTAATTTTTAAAAAAAAAAAAATTCTACCCTACTTCTAAATCTACCCTACTTTGTTAGTGAGAAAAATATTATAAGACTATACCTTATTAAAAATATTGCTTAAGTTAAAATACCTGTGTGTGTGTGTGTGTGTGTGTGTGTGTGTGTGTGTGTGTGTGTGTGTGTGTGTGTGTGTGTGTGTGTGTGTGTGTGTGTGTGTGTGTGTGTGTGTGTGTGTGTGTGTGTGTGTGTGTGTGTGTTTTATATCACTAGTGCAGTGTCCGTTCTCGGAGCATATAAGCCCTGCACGCGTGGGGCGCGCCGTTTCTTTATTTAAATCTGCCCTACTTTGTCAGTAATTTGTTAGTGAGAAAAATATTAGACTACCTTATTAAAAATATTCCTTAAGTTAACAGACAGACCTGTGTGTGTGTGTTATATCACTAGTGCAGTGTCCGTTCCCGGAGCATAAGCTCTGCTCGCGTGAGGCGTGCTGCTTCCCGCTCACATTGTACTGTAGTTTATTAAAAGTTTATTAATTCTGAACGTGTCGTGTCTCGCCTGTCTATCTATATTGCACCAAATACACACTGCACTCCTTGTGAAGTCGTTTGGATGAACGGTTCTCGAAATAATCAAAATGCAAACGGACAGACAGACATATAGAGATTCCGAAGCTTCGAATATTCGATGTTCATTACTACCGAAGCTTCAAAGCTCAAAAAATGGTATTCGGACCAGCCCTAGAAAGCACTTTGAAATATTATCACGCAATGCTAAAGTTAATGAACATTTTTGATTAAGGTAACGTATGTTACAAAATACAGATATTACCACGACGGTGATATTCAACCCGAGCGTAATATTGCTGAGGAATGAATCATGCTTTGGGGGTTATTCATGGTCTGTTTGAATGTACTTTGTTGATGCTTTATTACACATTTAATTTCCTTTTAATATTCGATGGTTGAACAGTGGTGAGTAGAATATCTATAGTTCTATCTATCTATAGTCTATAGTTATCTAATTGTGACCAGTTTTTTTAAAAAAAAAGTCTAATTTTGCGCTCATATAGCGAACATTTCACTGATTGTTTACAGTTTAACAGTAGTTATTACACACATAATTCACACAAAATTCCCCTTTTTTCCAGGTTTTCATGATTGTGGAACCCTGGCAATATTTGTGCACAAACATCTGATAAACATGTTAAAATGAGCGCATTGTAAATAATAAATGTCACACTGTTCTCACATCCACAAGTGGAAGTTTAAGTGTTGTTCTGCAGGCGAGCAAACGTTGTAAAAATTACACCGTCTAAATGAAAACAAACACACTTAAATGGACACTGCAGTAGACATGGAGACAATAAACTTATAAATAAAATAAGACGTTGAGATGGGCAAAACTACATGTTCTATATGAAAGAATGCCAAAATATTACCCAAGCATTAGAACATCCTCTCTGAATCTATATTCATCCCCTTTAAATCATTGCTACTAAAATATTAATGCTAATACAAAAAGAAACATAAAGAAGAAACCTTGATAGTCAACCACACTTAGAGGTTGGATTTTAAACTGCATTGTAATTGCTGCGGTGTAACTACACTGTAAAAAAATATTGTTGGTTTAACTTAAAAAAATGAAGTAACCTGGTTGCCTTCAAATTTTAAGTTCATTGAAATGGAAAAATTGAGTTAATACAATGAAGAAGATTGATTTAATCATCAGAAACTCAAAATATTATGTTATCTGAACCACATAAATTATTTAAGTTGATTTGACAAAAGAAAAAATGTTGTGATTACAAATCATGAACATATTTTTTTTACAGTGTATTTACGGTATGTATGTTTTTGGTACATTAGATGTCTGCTGCCAAATTGGGCCACAAATTACTGCTGTATATGATAAATGTACATATAAATGTGCAACTGTGGAAGTTAAGAAAAAAGGAAGCATAACTGCATTCATGCTTCCCTTTTTCATACTGCTGTACTTGAGTCCACGAATCAACTAATCAAACATTGAAAATGCTAAATAAGGATACACTGATCTCAAGATGTTTTATGGCCGACTCCGAATGCCAATTTTTTTTTACAATCAAATGGGCCGATTCTGATACCAGTTGCCAATTTTTTTCTCTCGTCATTGTTTCAGAGGATCTTGTTACAGACGTTGTAATAGTTCCCCACAAACGACACTTTGGGAAATTATTGTAATGCAGTTTGTGTGCAAATTCTTAACAGAGATCGGCCAAATCGACCGGTGCATCCCTAATGCTAAACTTTGATTGGGAAATGTCTAAAAGCTAATAGAAACCTCAGGTCATATAATCATCGCATTTTCACAATCAATCTGAACAGTCAGGTACTTGTGCCCATCTTCATCGCAGATAAGCAAAAACCCTGATCTGCAAACACATGTAGGTTTTTGGGAAATAAATATGCAGATAAATATGCAATAAGAGCCAATCCTACCTCTCTCCGTCACCCACTCTGGATCTGGGATCATGTAAGTCCCATCTGAATCAGACATGCTGGTCGATTGAACAACAGAACCTGACAATGACTCTCCAGCATGCGCTCCCTCGGTCTCCAGAGCTGTGTGCGTCCCTGACGCCTCCACCAGAGCTGAATGTGGGTCACGAGATGCTAATGATGGAGCCACTGAATCCATCTCTACAGTTGAAACTGAAAGCGATTCAGTGGCTAAATCAGAATTAGTCTCCTTTTCTAACATATCTTCAACGGCATCTGCCACAGAAGCCGAAACAGGCACGAAATCATCAACCACGGTTAAATCTGGTGAGGTCTTCTCTGCCGAAGTTGATGTATTGGTCTCGGGCACCTCGGACTCCTGGGACTCTCCCGCGTCTGGTGTGAAATCCTGCATGTCGAATTCCAATAAAACCTTTTCAAACTCCTCAACAGCAAACGCTGATGCAGTTTCTTCATCCATCGGGGGAACAACAAAAGGAATTGGGCACAGGATCCGGAAAAGTCTGGACTCAAGAGTGGGATGAAGAAAGGAAGGGTCGTTCCCATTCCAAAGCATTCAAAACATTCCACAGGGCTCGATTATGTATACAGCCGGCAGTTCGCTAGATAACGGTCTCCCTCTGGGGGATTTGCTTACGTAAGCTATAGACACTACACAAACCCATATATGACCACGTTTTAGGGTCTACGAAAACATATTACGGGGCTAAACATTCCCAGACGTCATCTAGAAAGAAAGTTATTCCGAAAATCCCTAGAAAACCCTGCAAGAACGAGTACAGAACCTTCATGCCTTTGAAAGATTATACAGGATGCCACTTATTTAAACATCGTTTATCCCTGACAGACAATCTCTGGTCAGCTTCAAAAGTGGGACAGTCCACTCAAAATAAAAATCAAGTCAATACGGTCTAACCGTCCCCCCACAGAATGATATTCCCTTCTCAACGCATGCTTAAAGTCAACATGAAACCGAGGTTGTGATAGTCTTTTCTTCCCTATTGTAACATATATCTGAGTGAAACGGCTTCTGGAACATGAACAAATGTAGGGCAGGTTTTTTTTTTGGTTGGTTTTGTTCAAGGAGAATTGATTGGATGGTTGTGGTTAGCTATTGTTTACCCCGCCCTCGCACCAGTAAACACATCCTAAGAGAAGAGATGAGATGATGCTGCAAGAGGGAAGAGAAGTTATATTGATTAAAGATAATGAGGATGCATGAAAAAAAAAAAAAAAATCGGATAAATAGTTCATAATAAACACTGCAATATTCCATAAATCAGGGGTTCTCAAAGTCTATATTCAAAGGTCCAAATCTGAATTTTCATCAATGTCAAAGGTCCGAAACTATGGGGGGGGGGGGGGGGGGGGGGGATTGTTCGGTTTTTGTTGGGGGGTTGGGGGTTGGGGGTTGGGGGGGGGGACTCCTGGAACTTCCGGGAGATTTGGGATATCTGTGAACGCATACCTCTCTGTCCAATCATCTTTGAAAAAACAATTTTCTTCGTCAACTTTTCTTTTCCTGGACAATGACATCCTCCACACCCAAAACGCTTACGCTGGGAAGTGTCGCGTCGCGGTCGCGCCCGATTACGTCAAAAGTCACACGCTCACTGGATGTCATGGCAACTTAATCACGGAGGAAAACTTTAAATATCTCGCCTTCGTTTTAATTTTGGACCATCATAAAAAATAAACAAATGATTTTAACATGTGTTTATCAAAATAGGAAATCCAGACTTTTAATCCCTTACACACAATTAGGGCTCTTGAAATACGAAATGGAGGCGGGTCCGGATTGAATTCGCTCTGGGTCCGGATCCGGACCGGAGTCCGGACTTTGAGAAGCACTGCCATAAATAATCAAGAATTGTCCGGTTTTATTTTATAGTATGTTCTCCTGATATCTTGTTCAAACTAATCAGAAAAAGTGTTTCTTTACCTGTTAGCTCTATGCTAAGCGAGCTTGTTAACCAAAGACATAGCTTTGGCAATATAATGTAGGGTTGGGGTGGTATGACGAATTATATGGCTGCATGATTAATCAAAATAAAACCGAAATTGAAATATGACTTAGGGGCTATTATCAAATTGCAAAGGCTGCAATTTAATTAAATAAATATAGCTATGCGCTACGTGTTTCTAAATGTGAAACACGGCACTGTGTTCTTAAATGTGAGAATTTCGGACCACCGTAAGTTTGGGTTGTTATACCATTACATAAGGTTTTGGTAATATTTCCAATCCCTAACGTGATACAATTGAAAAGGCATGAAATAATTAACATGAAATATTTTCATAATTAAGAATAAATACAACGTAAAGCTATTTTCTATCATTCATATATTTTAGAGAGCTACACTGGAAGTATACAGCCAATGCAAACATAACTGTAGCATAACTTTATGCTGACACAACCTCCTCTGGCACAAACATCTATAAACAGTGAACAGCTCTTGTTTAACGTTTAAAACATTCTATCTAGGGGTGTAACGGTTCTCTATAAAAAAAATAAAAAAAATAAAAAAAAACATCTGAGAGCTGGATCACTCCTCCATAGGCTTCTAAGGGATCGAAACTTGCCGGCCCAGAAAAGTTAAAGACATCGTTAAAATAGTCCGAGTGACTACAGTGGCTCAATCTTAAGTTTATCAAGCGACGAGAATACTTTTTGTGTGCAAAAAACAAACAAAAATAACAACTTTATTCAACTATTCATTTCCTTCTCTGTGGGCCTCAAGATAGTTCACGTATTGTAACTGCGCAGCGCTTCTGGGTTGTGATGAACGAAAGTCTTACGGGGTTGGAACAACATGAGGGTGAGTAATTACTGACATAATTTTCATTTTGGGGTGAACTAACCCTTTAAAGGTTCATTATTAATGCCCATTTCATAATTCATTCATCTCCACTCTCACATGTTTACTTATATGCCCCCATCTGGTCAATGGGTGAAAGTGCAAATAACACTTTCTTCGCATAAACAGACAATAATAAAACTCGAGCTGAGAAACAAGTCTCCAATGACTATTTACTTCAGTCTTACTTGCAGAAAATCTACACAGAGAGGTCAAACCTGATACATAAAGTGTCTAAATTTGGCCTCTTGGCCACAAGATGACTCATTTATGACAGTAAAATATAAAGTTCTCAACCCCAAAGTTCTTCCTAAGTTCTGACCTTCAGAGATTTGAGACCAACAGGGTGGTCAGCCAAGGAGGGAGACCCAAGACCCCTGTACTAAAATAAGAAGCCTTCAGTCCTAAACCTGCCACAGAGAGACGATGAAATGCATCCCACGCTGTAAAACCTGATAGATCCAAGGGAGTAAAGCATTAATAACCCTGAATTCTTGAGCGTTTGGTTATTGACGTGTGACACAGATGTCAACCCAGCAAGAATAAGGGAGAGTACTGCATTAAGGAAATGACACTATCTGATTATCTACAACAGAGCAAGAGTAGAGAGGCGATAAAGTGACAGTTTGCACAACTACAGATATTTAGCACAATGTCTAAGCTGCTTATATAAAAAAATATTATGCTTCGATTCACAAAGGATGTATTATGTTGATTAATATTATAAGATATTAACTATATGAACCATATGAATTAATGGTTTATATATATATATACATACACACACACATACAGTATCTTTATATCATACTTTGATCGACCCTCGCTAGGCCTGTTACGAGTGGAACCTGTCTTGGAAAACCTCTGTATGACCCTGGCCTGTACTGTAACTCAGTTTCAGGGTGTTACCAATCTTCTTATAGCCTTGGCCATCTTTGTGGAGAGCAACAATTCTAATTCTCAAATCCTTAGAGAGTTATTTGCCATGAGGTGCCATGTTGAACATCCAGTGGTCAGTATGAGAGAATTGTACTCAAAGCACAAATTTTAACTGCTCTAATACAAGACACAACAATTTATATGGTCCTGTCAAGCAGACAAAAACATGAACATGATGAATAGGACATGTGGCTTTGCATGGTTAAACGACGTACAGCTATTATCACTTAGGAATCGGATGTACTCACTTTTGTTGCCAGCTATTTTGACAATAACGGCTGTATGTTGAGTTATTTTCAGAGGACAGTAAATATATACTTCTAATTCTATATAAGCAGCACATTGACTACTCTAAAATATATCCAAGTTTCATTTCTATAGTATTGTCCCTTGAGTAGATGTACAAAAATGTTTGCTGAAATGTGAGGGGTGTACTCACTTTAGTGAAAAATACAATAATTTAAATAAAACAGCAATCAAATAATAATTATCAATGCATTGAAGAGTAAAAACTATTTCTCAAGATTTACCAAAACGACAATGTATTGCTCCACTTACAATATGCGACAGTTTAAAAAAGCAACCATTCAACATAGGCCTGTTAATTACTTTAAAATGTGCAGGAAAAGATTGTGGAGATTGTATCCTCTGGCTGACTGGCTCCTCTATATTTAAGTCTGTGTGTTGTTTTTAATTATTATTTTGTCAGAGTGACGCCATGTGGGACCAATTACCATCTCTGAGTGAAACACACAAATAGAAAGAGACAGTGAGAGTCCAGTTTCATTATCAAAACTGCTATTTATACCTGCGGACCATATCATTAATAACCCAAGAATTAATTTAAAATGATAGCCTTCTCCCGACGAGGAAAATCTGTTGCAGTCTACAATACATGTGTGTAATGTGGTCAAAAGATCTTGAAATTAACCATAAGCCAATGATGAAGCAATGCAGCTGATGACACAGAGCTGAAGCACAAATGATCCATCTTGAACATTCCCAGACAATAACAGCTATTCAGACTTATCTCAAAAACATGACTAAGGTATTACTGGCCCCTGTGATTGTGATTTTGACCCTTTAATGTGAACATGGAAAGGTATTCAGGCTATTCCAAATGCAAAAATATAATTATTTAAAAAATAATAATTAGATGCAAGAAAAAAATATAAAAATACATTTAAAAAATAAAATAGTAAACATATATAAAGTAGGAAGTTAATAGAGTGAAGTTCTCTTCAGATGGGAAGTCAAAGCCCACATGTAGTAGTAATTGTTCCAGCTGCCCTCTACAGGTGTATCTGAGTGAACACAAGAGCACACGCCCAAACTATCTCAATCGAAGCGGCCTGAAACATACGGGTCCATGGGAAAAACTGAAAGCACTTAGAAGTGGTTAAGCACATGCGTTTTTTAATCTACCCAATCTTGGTCACGATATGCCTGGGATTCAAGGCCTATTCCATAAGAGAAGACAAGATACGTGCAAGCATCATCCAGACACGTGACCTGAGAGTTATTGTACTTTCAATAAAAAAAGTACAAGATAAATGTGCAAGTCTGTACTTAACATTCCTGCATCCAGCAGTTCTCCCATGAGATCTCTCACCCTCCCAATCCCTCCATCTCCCTATCTGATGGGCAGAAAGGTGTGCAGGGAATTCCTC